GCTCCTTCATTATTCTCATGCACATGTTTAACAGTTTCCGTGACACGTAATTTTCTTCACGTCGAATTTGCTGGATTGCTTGTTTGATTTCTGGGGAAAGCTTTGTAGGTTAAGATTTTGCAATGTAGTACGCGATTGACTCATTTGATCCGCATGGCTGGATGTTCATATTTCCTTTCCAGAGGTTGAGTAGCGTAGGATTGTAATTGTAAATCCATCAGTCTTCGTATCTTCGCTTCAGCAAGCATATTCGACCACCATTGCTAATGAAGTCATCTGATGTTTCGGAGACGATACGGGTTTCGGCACAAACTTGTCGTGGAAATTTGAAGCGGCACGCCATTGATGAGTCGTCATCATTCTTCTTGCGTGTGTTTGTATGAACCTAACACTTTTTCACGAGCTCATATAGCTCAGAACTATCGTCCGGCTTTTCTGTTGTGCACACTTGATCAATTTGATTGATTCCCTCAGGGGTATTGAATGAGGGATGATCTTCTATTCACACCAGCATGTGTAGATGTGGACTTCCACGATTCTGGAACTCGATTCGCCACCAGTAATCCTTCAATCGACCACCAAACACTTCATGATTATTTCTCAATAATTTCACAAGTGCGTTCAATCGAATCATGAAGTGTCGAGTGACTATGACAGGGTACTTTTTGATCAATCGGTGTCTGGCATATATGTTGAGTTCATTTGGATCTTCATCGGGTCTTCCATCAGCTATTAAGAGCGCCTTGCGCATATCAAGCCAATTCAAATAATTGCAACTGAATGTCCCGAAGTATGTTAGTGGTCCTATTGAACGTATTTGTCCAATCAATTCATTCAGCACTGTTTGCCAATATGCAGCTGATCCTCGAAGGTTCTTTTACTCTACCATCTTGTCCTTGCACATTCTTTCCACAAGCTGCGATGTTAGATTGGATGCGATAATACTCGAACATTGATAATGCGTAGAAGAGGTAATCGTTTCATTGAAATCGTGCATCACTACCCAGAATTCTGAATTGAAATTAGTCCAATGGAGTGATTCTCACATATCTTACTTATTTGAGTCCATTGATTCCTTTTGGAAAGAGGTAGAATCATGCAACCTTTTCAACTTTCAATTCATGTGCTTCGTTCACAATATTGTTGGTTGTTTTATGCCTTATTTCGTGAGTATTATCAGAGACTTCGTATTCCTCCTCCACATTTGGATAATCACAATCTATCGAAGCCATGACTGATGTTTGTACAGGCATCGATTCAACTTGTGCTGCCATATTATCTCGCAGATGTGGTGATGAATTTTCTTCTTCTCGCATTCCTGGATCGACGATGTCATTATTGGGATGAACATCTATGAAGATGGTGAATTGAACCTTTATCGATCCTGTTGATCGTCTGCAGATTCGTTCAAGTTCTTCAATTGTGTGATACTCAATTATGCATGCTCTCCCATTGCCTGCCGGTGCACCTTTGTGGCCACATTAATGTGAATCAGTGAAATAGTATTTGTCATCGTAATGCATAATTCCTAGTGATATGGATGCTGTTATTAGTACGCCAGCCTGATGATTTGTGAACAATTCATTATATGCATCGCCCAAAGTCATTCCTTGTGAAATCGGCTTCATTGACTGAGTCTTGTAGACTTCCAACGAGTTGTGTTTCCTCATCATAGGCTACTGAGAATGAGTTGTTGAACATAATGAAGTCGTTACTTATGACATTGAAATGTTTGATTTCCAGATATCCGTTAGCTGTCATTGGATATCCTACATTCTCAAGTTTGGCCAATCGAATAGTTTGATGCATTTCATCACCCGCAATCAAGTTTACGTTCAATGTGTTTGTGGTCCATATGCTTGGTGGCAGTATAGCAGCTCTTACACTATTTTCCAACACCATTGCACAAACTTGATTTGAAGCTTTCGTGACTGCAGGAATCCATACTCTTTGGTTCCTTCGGTAAAATCACGTATGTAGAAATTTAACAAGGCAGCAGACATCGTGGCTATCGCGATTTTCACCTGAAGACGGGCACTTGTGTTGCATCTGAAATGTCGTGATTTATTTTGTTTTTAGCATTTGTCGTTACCGTAGTTCCTTGCTTTTTTGTTTGATTTGTTGGTTTCCATTTTTGTTCCCCCGAGTATAGGACAAATAACGGTCCGCCCCCCCACCCCCAGATGTCCTTGTAGAGAAGTGTGGCTCTTATACAACATGGTGTGCCCGGTGCCCCGAGGATGCTACGTTACTACCCCCATGCCATTCAGTAGTCGGCACGTACTCACCTTGACGTTGGGTAGTGTACATTAGCAACATGACATTTTTAACCACCCTCATGACATTCAGTCCTCGGCACGTACTCACCTTGACGTTGGGTGAAAGAGTGGCTGGCAATGTTTGATAAGTCGGGGCTTGAACGCATGACCTGAGAGTTGATAATTTTAATATAAAACTAAAATTTCCAAACTTCAACTTATCAACCACACGAAACCCACTCTTAAATATGGTACAGTTGAAACTTCTATATAAAGTACAATCTTAACTAAAACAAACAATTTAACTTTTTATGTTTAGATGGAAAGGCCAAAACTCAACCGATTTGTCCACCACAACCAACTTAATTAGAAAATTTGAACGGATATAACATCAATATAAATATTTAAAGTTCACTTTAAATGGGGTTAGTGCAAAAATGACGTCACTGACCCTATCCATGCATTGCCCCATTCGATGCATTACATAATAATAAACAACTTTTGTAAAGACACCGAAGCATTTCATGTGACTCTTTACCTTAAAAAAGGAAAACAAATAAAAAAATATGTTCCAGGCGAGTTTCGACCTCTGGACTCCTACGTTGGTATTACATTTTTTTTTCCACAAAACCAGTTCGCAAACTACTCGTTCAATAAGTCTTCCATACAAAATATGAATTGCTTCATTCAAACGAGCCAATTAATTGATGCCGATTTTGATACAGATGTAGTGACTGTGAATGTCACTGTGTGGTGCCGGGCTTGCGAGGCCACGGCGGATAATGTGTTGGCATTACAGTGAGGGAAAAAAGTATTTGATCCCCTGCTGATTTTGTAGGTTTGCCCACTGACAAATAAATGATCAGTCTATAATTTTAATGGTAGGTTTATTTGAACAGTGAGAGACAGAATAACAACAACAAAAAACAGAAAAACGCATGTCAAAAATCTTATAAATTGATTTGCATTTTAATGAGGGAATAAGTGTTTAACCCCCTCTCAATCAGAAAGATGTCTGGCTCCCAGGTGTCTTTTATACAGGTAACAAGCTGAGATTAGGAGCACTCTCCTTAAGAGTGTGCTCCTAATCTCAGCTCGTATAAAAGGCACCTGTCCACAGAAGCAATAAATCAGATTCCAAACTCTCCACCATGGCCAAGACCAAAGAGCTCTCCAAGGATGTCAGGGACAAGATTGTAGACCTACACAAGGCTGGAATGGGCTACAAGACCATTGCCAAGCAGCTTGGTGAGAAGGTGACAACAGTTGGTATGATTTTCGCAAATGGAAGAAACACAAAAGAACTGTCAATCTTATTCTTAGTTCTTTCGGTAAAGTCACGTTCAACGTGACTTTACGGTAAGAACTAAGAATATGAATTACTGCAGTCACGAAAGCTTTAAATCAAAATTTAACTGTCAATCTCATTGGTTTTTCGGTAAAGTCACGTATGTAAGAATACCATAAAATTAAATTAAAACACGTTTAGGACAGAATTGCAAAGGTAACTTCCCCGTAGAAGTGTTTTTTTACACCTGATGAAGATCGCTTGTGTTGCGGTCGAAACGTCGTGATTGATTTATTTTAATATAATGTTATGGTATTCCTACATACGTGACTTTACCGAAACAAACAATGAGTCATTTATGCAGTCACGAAAGTTTTAATTATTTATTAACTGTCAATCTCCCTCGGCCTGGGGCTCCATGCAAGATCTCACCTCGTGGAGTTGCATTGATCATTAGAACGGCGACGAATCAGCCCAGAACTACACGGGAGGATCTTGTCAATGATCTCAAGGCAGCTGGGAGCATAGTAACCAAGAAAACAATTGATAACACACTACACCGTGAAAGACTGTAATCCTGCAGCGCCCGCAAGGTCCCCCTGCTCAAGAAAGCACATATACATGCCCGTCTGAAGTTTGCCAATGAACATCTGAATGATTCAGAGGACAACTGGGTGAAAGTGTTGTGGTCAGATGAGACCAAAATGGAGCTCTTTAGCATCAACTCAACTCGCCGTGTTTGGAGGAGGGGGGGGGAATGCTACCTATGACCCCAAGAACACCATCCCCACCGTCAAACATGGAGGTGGAAACATTATGCTTTGGGGGTGTTTTTCTGCTAAGGGGACAGGACAACTTCACCGCATCAAAGGGACGATGGACGGGGCCATGTACCGTCAAATCTTGGGTGAGAACCTCCTTCCCTCAGCCAGGGCATTGAAAATGGGTCGTGGATGGGTATTCCAGCATGACAATGACCCAAAACACACGGCCAAGGCAACAAAGGAGTGGCTCAAGAAGAAGCACATTAAGGTCCTGGAGTGGCCTAGCCAGTCTCCAGACCTTATTCCCATAGAAAATCTGTGGAGGGAGCTGAAGGTTCGAGTTGCCAAATGTCAGCCTCGAAACCTTAATGACTTTAAGAAGATCTGCAAAGAGGAGTGGGACAAAATCCCTCCTGAGATGTGTGCAAACCTGGTGGCCAACTACAAGAAACGTCTGACCTCTGTGATTGCCAACAAGGGTTTTGCCACCAAGTACTAAGTCATGTTTTTCAGAGGGGTCAAATACTTATTTCCCTCACTGTATATGCATAGCCTTAACAGACTGTTGGGGCAAGTGATGTTCGCGAGAACCGATGAAGACCGAGACCCGTATACAAGGGGGTGGGTGGCCAACACCACGCTCGACTGTCTTTGTCTCCCCAATGGCGATGTTTACACACCGCACCAGGTACTCATTTGAGCCTGTGTCGATCTAGGGGAGGCCCCCCGCGCACACCGGAGTGAGCAGAGTGAGCAGTGTTGACCGCCGGTGAGAGAGGGGCAGCAGACAGCGTTGTTGTTACCGGCACCCCCCTCTCTCTCTCGGGCTTGGAGCTAAATATGGCAACTTGCAGGGGCTGTTCTGAAAGTGTGGACTAAAAATAACGGCGCGGGCCGTCAGCTACAAGTTGTGTGAAGGCACCAGAAACCTGCATGGAGCTCTGTTGGCTTTTGACAACTGTGTAGCGAACCACACAGTTATGTATTATCCAGACGAGGGTGAGTACTTGTGGCTGAGACGACACACACGGAATCACGCACGTCTGTCTTTGGCAGGCGTCGTGGGGTGTTAAACAAGATGTGTGTGTGTGTGTATGTCCGTGACCTTACACTTGACGTTACTGACTGAGCTTCCTCCTAAAAACCGTTTTACACACGCGAGGGTAGCTACACATTACAAACAAATACATTCTGTTAAAATTGAACACATTGTTGGGTGATGCTGCTGTGTTGAGTGTTAATTATGCAACGCACAATTAACACTCAACACGTTCCGTGTCAATTACACTCTGTACTTGTGTGGCCTTAATAGGAAAACATAATAGGCGACGTTTCGGGCAATGGCCCTTCTTCATCCATGTACTATGAAGAAGGTCCGTTGCCCGAAACAGGCCACTGGCAAATGTGGTGAGCTTTTTTTGTTTGTTCTGTTCAAAAGTTAAGTTTACGTGGCACGCACACACACACGTGTACTGGGTGAAGGCCGTTTCGGTCATGGGGCCTGTTTGACCATACTTCACCACCGGTACGAGTTGGACCGGATTAAGGCCGTGAGGGGCCTAAGGCTAATATGAGGGAAAAGCCTAAGTATGTATTATTTATTGCCAAATACAATTCTGAAATCATCAAAATATGTGTTTGCCTATTTAAAATGTACATATTTATTCGACTCGGTAAAGTCATCAAACATAAATCACTCACTGCACTTATTTATCAAACTTTATTTTCTTCCGAGCTTTAGCTGCGTGGCATATTAATGGTATATCGCCTCAATATCATTGACGGTTAACACGTGTACACGATAAGCCAGACTGCCCTAGCACAATACAATATCATGTACAACGCCATACACAACAGCATGCTGTACTATACATAATACATTCACGTATCAAACTTTATTTTCTTCCGAGCTGCGTGGCATATTAATGGTACATCTCCTCAATATCATTGACTGTTAACACGTGTACACGATTAGCCAGACTGCCCTAGCAGGATACAATATTATGTACAACGCCATACACAACAGCATGCTATACATAATACATTCACGTATCAAACTTTATTTTCATCCGAGCTGCGTGGCATATTAATGGTATATCTCCCCAATATCATTATCACTGTTAACACGTGTACACGCTGTACTCTACATAACACATTCACATAGACAACCTGCGACTCCGGAGCCGCGTGCGGCTCTTTAACGACTGCTTGGTGACGTCATTTATTAAGGACCAGCACCGTCTCGTGTTCACGCGCGTTGCGACCCCTTGAAATATTGAGGTTTTGTTTTGCCCAATTTGAAAAAAATGGGTCTTCTTGTTATTTTGGTTGCCGATTCCTGATAATAGACAACGCGAGCCGTGGTGGCTGCACACGTGGCATGTAATCCCGAACTGTGGAGGCAACATCGAGGGTTGATGGATCACACAAATGTTGTGAAACTCCCTTCCCGAGGGCATCATAGGTACCACAACCTGGTTTTCTAGAAAGGCAGTACATAAAAAACATGAACTCCACTTGTTCCATCTGCACGGGACAGAGTGTCGTCCTCTCGCAAGAGTGGTTTTCTCCCACACGCAAACACTCTTAAATTGGTTTAACACGTAGGCTTGCGCGACCAATGTCATGCATAATTTAGGGTTTTTGGGTTGGATCGCGTAAAAGTAAATATGCCGTTAAACCCGCCACCACCCGACACAGCCAATTAGTAAGGTTAGGTTTGTCACGTAAACAGAACGTGCCAATTCGTTACTAGTACAGCACACTGGCTTGCTGGAGAGCAAAGCCACAACATTTACATCCTGAGCACGACGTTTCGCCAGTAATTACATTTGTGGAGAAATGCAGTCGAGGGATAGATGCAATGACGTCACTTGTGAGCCCTTCACATGCGAAGGGGGGGGGGGGGCGGGATTAATGAGTTTATATAAATTAAAATGGGTATCCATTGCCGGTTGGGTAATTAAAAATTACAGGCTTCGTGCTGCTTGGAAGCGAATCATCAAATAATGCATTGTTTAAATGCATGCCTGTACAGGTCACCATACGTAAATGGGAATTACCTATACGCAAACAATAACAGTTGCTGCTTATTTCATCCACACAAACGACAGGAGGTACAACAATGCACATGCATAATGTACGTTGATTATCATATGAATAACCCAACCAGCAATGGATACCCATTGTAATTCATATGAACTCATGAATCTCCCCCCCTTCTTCGCACGTGAAGGGCTCACCGGTGACATCATCACATCTACCCCTCTATTTAAGGAACGAAACAATAGGATTTCTCCACAAATCTGGCTCTCCGCCTGATGATGCTAGTTGTAATTGCTGGCGAAACGTCGTACTCAGATTGTGAATGATGTGGATTTGCTCTCTGCTGTACTACTGACGAATTGGCACGTTCTGTTTACGTGACAACCCTTACCAGTTGGCTGTGCCGGGTGGTGGCGGGTTTAACGACACATTTATATTTACGCGATCTAACACAAAAAAACCTATATTACGGATTCTGAAATAGGGCAATTATACCTTAATATATAGAGAACCGCAGAACTTTAGAATTTGTTGGTAGCACAGGTTCATCGTGTGGTGGCTGCTGCCTTTCCGCTCGTCTGCGGTTCATCCTGGCGATTCTGAGTCGTCCTGTCTCCACAAGAGGGAGCAAGTAGTTCAGTTCAGTTTCAGTTTATTTTGGTATAGCCCTGTGAGCCATCCGGCTCTTGAATCGGGTGCAACCACAACAAACAAACAAAACAAAAACACGAACAAGAAAAAAACATCTTAAAGTGACTGTGTGTGTGACTGTGCAAACAGAAAATCCATGGAAAAAAAACAGCAAAAATATTCCTGAAAAAAGCACCGTACACCAACGCTGTGTGCAAAAAAATCCCAGTCGGATGCAAGTCAAACAACAACAACAACCACAAAAACTTAGGTTAAGGCCATCAGTCTGACTCCGTGCTACAACAAAACAAACATGTCCAAACCAAAAAACGTTTTCCAAATCACCAAAAAATAAAGCCATAATTGCAACGTAACAGTGATCATAGGGACTGTGACCGAATTTTGACAATAAACTACATAAATAACATGTAACACCAAACCCTAGAGCCATAGCTGGCTGCATGAGTTACTCCACAACAACAGAAGCATCGGTCGGAGTATCAGATTTTTCAATGCACCTTTAAGATCAGCACGCTAAATCAAAATACAGATAATACTTTGCAGCGTCCTCCTGAGCGAAACATTTTATTTTACGCCAATGAATAGCAGTGGCAGCTAGGGGTATACAACTCCTCTAGAGGAGTTTAGAGAGAAGATCTCATTGGTAGCGATGCAAGTTGCAGTTTATTGGCAATAGCATTCCAGACTCTGGGGGCGTCAAAAGCAAAGGCCCTTCCTCCAGTTTTTTCACGGCAATAGGGAATGTGAAGCTGGTAAATGAGCGAAGACCTGAGGTAAAATTTGTTCTTTGAAACAGAGAGGAGATCCAGCAGGTAGTCTGCGGAATTTCTTTGTAAGTACATCGTGAATAAATAAGATCTGGTGCACAAGCAGTCGAACATTAAGAGATGTTAAGTTTGACCCAATGTAGAGATCACAGTGGTGAGTCCTATATGGGCAGTTCAATGTAAATCTTAAGGCCGAGTGATAGATGGAATCAAGCTTCTTCAGTACAGTACTTGGGGCTAATTTATACACGATGTCACAGTAGTCAAGTAGAGTAGTGTGCTGCGTCACAAGACGATATTGATTTGAGAAGTTCAAGATGGTTTGTCGCATATCGCTTGTACGCTACATAACTGGAAAACTGGAAAATATAATCGAATTATTTAAAACGCAGCTGCCAAACGACTACATAAGCGATCTGGATTTACAGGTATTCCTGTTATTGACCACATCATATTCTGGAAAACAAATATTAATGGAACATCTGACTGTTACTCAATGGATACGTATAGTTGCTGTACATTTTTCAAGGCTCATAAAAAAATGTAATTTTCATCAGGCAACGTGGTGTAAACCAGTGTAGTGTTTCATATGCAGTGGGACTCCTTCATGGGATTGGTGGTCAGTCTGTAACAGACACGATCACGTATAGTTCACAGTGAGTCTGTTTTGATCATATTCATTGTCTTTAGTACAACTTTAAGTATCAAACAAGAGACGAAAAAATGTGTAAAGGGGCCGTCCATGAATGACGTCACGCGATTTTGGACGATTTTTTACCCCCCCCCCCCTTCGTCACACGACGTTACAAAAAGTCAACCCCCCCCTCAAATATGACGTCACAAAGCTCTTGCCCCCCCCCTCCCAAAAAATAAAACATGCTTCAAATCGCTTTAAACTATTGTCATCGTAGTGCGTATTTAATGTGGCGCTGCACTCTGATGTTGTAGGAGACAACATTTATTTAAAAGTCTATTTAATTAAGTAGAACGTGTTGTCTATATTTATTTAAAGTTGCGCATTGTGATGTGACGTCACATTTGTCAAACCCCCCCCCTCGTCACAAATCGTCACAAATGTCTGACCGCCCCCCCCCCCCCTAGGTGCGTGACGTCATTTATAGACGGCCCCGTAGGTTAAGGAATAAACTGCGTCTATTTAGTTTGCTCCACCCGCTTAGTTATTACTTTAATACAGTTTGACTGTACATTCTGTTGTCACCAAGGCATTCGCGTTTAATTAATCATATTAACGTCAAAATACGATTAACGATTTATGTTTTAAAAAAAAAACGGGCTGCCCGCAAGATCTGCATGCGGCTCCAGTGTCGCGGGTTGCCTCCCCTCGTACTAAGAGGACACATTAAGTCCACGGTTGGCACGACACGTGCGGCGAGAAGCACGCGGAGAGACGACAGACGTCGAGACACTTCTTGAGAGGCGCTGGAGCTTGTGGCTGCCTGATTTGTTGTGCCTGCATCGACGGTCCAGGGAAAGCTTCTATACCCAGTTTCGAGATTCTTTCAGCAGGATCCTGCATTGGTGATAATTGTCCAATTCCTTGTGCACGAGTCTTTTAAAAAAAAAAAAAAATTGGTCATTAAATTAGCGCACTTAGATGTTTTTTTGGCGCTGTGGTTCTCGTAGGGCAAAGGGAGTTTCATCAAAAAAGAAAGGATCTCTGGTTACAGACACGCTCTGCATGCAGTTGTTTCACAGTAGGCGGGGCGATGTTGCTATGCGTGCCCAGTAAACATGCCGACGTTGAACGAACGTCGGCACGTTCTTGTAAACGTTTGGCCAATGTCGACCCAATGTTGGTTCAACATTGACCCAACGTAATTTGAAAATGTTGGACCGTGACACCGGCATACGGGATCTCTTCAAAGTCTACTGAGCAGTGGCACATTATAGGGGGCGCGTCTGCCCCGGTGAATGCGGTAATACACCGGCGATGTTAACCAGGGCGTCCTGCCCGGCTGTCTGAGTTCGGATTTCAGAGGTGCGGTGTGATGAGGAGGATGAAGAAATCACGCCGGATTTATGGCAGGAGGCGTGCTGGATTGTCATTAGGTAACCCACGCACCACGACAGCATCCACAATCGACATCTCACGGTGGGAATTGCCAGACAGCACAGCCTTATTAAACTCAACTAAACTTTTTTTTTACTATTTTACCAGGTAAGAGCCACTGAGCTACGCAGCTATTTTTTTCAGACGCGACCTGGCCACAAGTGGTAAGTGCGACGAAGCGGCTTGTCGTCACGTGGACATTTATAGCGGCCAAATACTCCAAATGCGTGTTGTTGGTTCTAAACGTGGAGAGAAACACCGCAGGACCCGGAGGCAAATCCACGCCACCACGGGGAGAGAGACACGCAAACTCCACATATACAGGCGTCAGGGTATATACAGGCGTCAGGGTCGGGATAGAACCCACGAACCTCCTGCACATCAGGCGAGGTCGTTAACATCTCAACATCGCGGCGCATCACAATTTATTTTACATTTATTATAATCTAGCCGGGCGGTTAGGTTTGGCTACGTTGCACGTGGCTGTTCGTAATTCAGCATTCAAAGAGGGTTGGTGGATCACCGCATAAATGTTGCGAAACTCCCCTTGCAGTGGGTGGGCGTGGAAGATGAGCCGTACCCTGGCTCGGCCAGGAGAAGACGTTCCAGCACCTGTTCCATCTGTACGGGATCGAGCGTTGCCCCCACACATACATGAGTTGTCTCCGGGTGCGCCGGTTTCCTCCCACATGTGTGGTGACCGATAACACTTTGATATATAGAGGACCGCAGAGCTTGGGGGGGGGGGATTTGTCTCGGGCTCCTCGCCGCGTGCCGCTCAATGCGTGCCCGTTTTGTGCTCCCTGCGCGTCGCAGCTCGTACTTTGATGAGAAGGGGTTGGTGCGGCAGCAGCTGGACTCGTTCGACGAGTTCATCCAGATGTCCGTGCAGCGCATCGTGGAGGACTCGCCCCCCATCGAGCTGCAGGCCGAGGCTCAGCACGCGTCCGGCCAGATCGAGACTCCGGTGACAACGCGCGCACAACAACGCACACACAACAACGCACAACAACGCGCGCACAACAACGCGCGCACAACAACGCGCGCACAACAACGCGCGCACAACAACGCGCGCACAACAACGCGGGCACAACAACACACAACAACGCACGCACAACAACGCGCTCGCAACAACGCACAACAACGCGCGCACAACAACGCGCGCACAAGAACGTGCGCACAACAACGCGCGCACAACAACGCGCGCACAACAACGCGCGCACAACAACGCGCGCACAACAACGCGCGCACAACAACGCGCGCACAACAACACACAACAACGCGCGCACAACAACGCGCGCACAACAACGCGCGCACAACAACGCACAACAACGCACGCACAACAACGCGCGCACAACAACGCGCGCACAACAACGCACAACAACGCACACACAACAACGCACAACAACGCACGCACAACAACGCACACACAACAACGCACAACAACGCACACATAACAACGCACAACAACGCACACACAACAACGCACAACAACGCACGCACAACAACGCGGGCACAACAACGCGCGCACAACAACGCGCGCACTCGCGTTACCGAGCACCGACAGATTTGGAATCACGGGATTGACCAACCCGAGTGAGCTCGGATGTCCCCGAGTTTTCAGAACGTATGTATTATCTGTTGAACTTCTTTCACACCGTACATAGGCAACCGTCCTAAGCGGAGGTGCAGCCGTGCTAATCGGAATGCCCTTGTCCTTGGAAGTCCCCGGGTTTTCAGGCTGCGTTGTCCTTTGGATTCACAAGGCAAATTGAGTTCAGCTGTCCCCCAGGTTTCAGGATGCGTTCTCTTAACCATCGTGTTCCACCATGCGTCACGAATATTTGAACGCGTTTAGTATATTGAGATAATGTCAATGTGTTGCTCGCCGTCTCAAAATCGGAGCGGGTTCGTCGACGTCAAAAGTTAGATTCCCGTGGCCGCCCTGGTTAATACAACGTAAAAATGCTACTGCGCAGTATCCTCAGATTCTTCTAAACATCATGGTCACTGAAACATGAGATCTGATCAATAGATACAAAATCCTTTGATAATTATAAAACAGTGGACGTCCCTTTGCCAGTCCACTGCTTGATAAAGGTTTATCCACACCCATATTACTTGTGGACATTGTTCGCCCATACTGCACCACACCGGTGAGTACACAATTTGGTGAAGGAGGGGTCCAGGACCAGTTCACATTTACTCGCAACCTCCTTCTCCTCTCGAAACCAAGGACCTGGGCCATGGCCACTGCCGGGCGTTGTTTCTCCGTGGCAACCCTCGCCGTGTGAAACGCAGCCATCATCATCGTGCCCAATGCTGCACATTAACAGCAGCAGCGATCAGTCTGCACCGACTTCGAAGAGCGTACCTAAAGACCCCGCCTCTCTCTCTTAAAGCCCCCACTCTCTCTTCATTTGAAGCTTTCGTGACTGCAGGAATCCATACTCTTCGGTTCTTTCGGTTAAAGTCACGTGGGTATAAAATAAAATGAATCACGACGTTTCGGGCGCAACACCAGCGTCCATTCATCAGGTGGGAAAGCGTGCACTGCTGAATGAAGCAGACTGTTTGAAAAGGTTTGAAATGGGCGTAGCCCAAGGGTCATAAAGAAGTGGCCGGGCGAGTGATGTTAAAGTGAGAAATTAGCTTGTAACTGTAAGATAGGAAAGCGGCCTCCTCGCCTCTGTTCGAGGACCCCCTCTCTCTTAAAGGCCCCCCTCTCTCTTAAAGGACCCCCTCTCTCTTAAAGGCCCCCTTCTCTCTTAAAGCCCCCCTCCCTCTTAAATGCCCCGCCTCTCTCTTAAAGGCCCCCCTCTCTCTTAAACCCACCTCTCGCTTAAAGGCCCCCCTCTCTCTTAAAGGCCCCCCTCTCTCTTAAAGGCCCCCCTCTCTCTTAAAGCCCCCCTTTCTCGTAAAGCCCCCCTCTCTCTAAAAGCACCCCTCTCTCTTAAACCCCCCTCTCTCTTAAAGCCCCCCTCTCTCTTAAAGGCCCCCCTCTCTCTTAAAGGCCCCCCTCTCTCTTAAAGGCCCCCTCTCTCTTAAAGCCCCCCTCCCTCTTAAATGTCCCCCTCTCTCTTAAAGGCCCCCCTCTCTCTTAAACCCCCTCTCTCTTAAAGGCCCCCCTCTCTCTTAAAGCCCCCCTTTCTCGTAAAGCCCCCTCTCTCTAAAAGCACCCCTCTCTCTTAAACCCCCCTCTCTCTTAAAGCCCCCCTCTCTCTTAAAGGCCCCCCTCTCTCTTAAAGGCCCCCCTCTCTCATAAAGGCCCACTCTCTCTTAAAGCCCCCCTCCCTCTTAAATGTCCCCCTCTCTCTTAAAGGCCCCCCTCTCTCTTAAACCCCCCTCTCTCTTAAAGGCCCCCCTCTATCTTAAAGGCCCCCTCTCTCTTAAAGGCCCTCTCTCTCTTAAAGGCCCCCCTCTCTCTTAAAGGCCCCCCTCTCTCTTAAAGGCCCCCCTCTCTCTTAAAGCCCCCCTCTCTCTTAAAGCCCCCCTCTCTCTGAACAGCCCCCCTCTCTCTTAAAGCCCCCCTCTCTCTTAAAGCCCCCCTCTCTCTTAAAGACCCCCCTCTCTCTTAAAGGCCCCCCTCTCTCTGAACAGCCCCACGTCTCTCGCCTGGCTTTCCAGCGACACTGAGCTGGGCTTCGCACCTCAGCGTCACGGTCAGGTATATCCGTGCCATTGTGCGCGTTCTCATTCTTATTATTCCTCTTCTGGGTCACCGCCACGACAGCGCTCCGCCAACAGCGGCCGTATTGCCTCCACCCGTCCGCGTGGTTTTGGTGAGATGTCGAGGGAGAGTGGCGACGTTTCTCCTCCGCATTGTGAGCGTGTCGCCGTTGTGAGTGTGTCGTTGTTGTGTGTTGTTGTTGTTGTGTTGTTGTTGTGTGTCGTTGTTGTGTGTCGTTGTTGCGAGTTGTTGTTGTGTGTCGTTGTTGTTATGTTGCTGTTGTTGTTGTGTGTCGTTGTTGTGTGTCGTTGTTGTCTGTCGTTGTTGTTGTTGTTGTGAGTGTGTCGTTGTTGTGTGTCGTTGTTGTGAGTGTGTCGTTGTTGTTGTGTTGTTGTTGTTGTGTGTCGTTGTTGTGTGTCGTTGTTGCGAGTTGTTGTTGTGTGTCGTTGTTGTTATGTTGCTGTTGTTGTTGTGTGTCGTTGTTGTGTGTCGTTGTTGTCTGTCGTTGTTGTTGTGAGTGTGTCGTTGTTGTGTGTCGTTGTTGTGAGTGTGTCGTTGTTGTGTGTTGTTGTTGTTGTGTGTTGTTGTTGTGTGTTGTTGTTGTGAGTTATTGTTGTTGTGTGTCGTTGTTGTTGTGTTGTTGTTGTGTGTCGTTGTTATTGTGTGTCGTTGTTGTGAGTTGTTGTTGTGTGTTGTTGTTGTGAGTGTGTTGTTGTTGTGTGTCGTTGTTGTGAGTGTGTTGTTGTTGTGTGTCGTTGTTGTGAGTGTGTCGTTGTTGTGAGTCGTTGTTGTGTGTCGTTGTTGTGTTGTTGTTGTGTGTCGTTGTTATGAGTTGTTGTTGTGTGTCGTTGTTATGAGTTGTTGTTGTGTGTCGTTGTTGTTGTGTGTCGTTGTTGTGAGTGTGTTGTTATTGTGTGTCGTTGTTGTGAGTGTGTCGTTGTTGTTGTGTGTCGTTGTTGTGAGTGTGTTGTTGTGAGTTGTTGTTGTTTGTCGTTGTTGTGTGTTGTTGTTGTGTGTCGTTGTTGTGAGTTGTTGTTGTGTCGTTGTTGTATGTCGTTGTTGTGTTGTTGTGTCGTTGTTGTGAGTTGTTGTTGTGTGTCGTTGTTGTGAGTGTGTCGTTGTTGTTGTGTGTTGTTGTTGTGTGTTGTTGTTGTTGTGTGTTGTTGTTGTGTGTCGTTGTTGTTGTGTTGTTGTTGTGTGTCGTTGTTATTGTGTGTCGTTGTTGTGAGTTGTTGTGTGTTGTTGTGAGTGTGTTGTTGTTGTGTGTCGTTGTTGTGAGTGTGTTGTTGTTGTGTGTCGTTGTTGTGAGTGTGTCGTTGTTGTGAGTGTGTTGTTGTTGTGTGTCGTTGTTGTGAGTGTGTCGTTGTTGTGAGTTGTTGTTGTGTGTCGTTGTTGTGTGTTGTTGTTGTGTGTCGTTGTTGTGAGTTGTTGTTGTGTGTCGTTGTTGTGAGTATGTTGTTATTGTGTGTCGTTGTTGTGAGTGTGTCGTTGTTGTTGTTGTTGTTGTGTGTCGTTGTTGTGAGTGTGTTGTTGTTGTGAGTTGTTGTTGTTGTGTGTCGTTGTTGTGTGTTGTTGTTGTGTGTCGTTGCTGTGAGTTGTTGTTGTGTCGTAGTTGTGTGTCGTTGTTGTGTTGTTGTTGTTGTGTCGTTGGTGTGAGTGTGTCGTTGTTGTGAGTTGTTGTTGTGTGTCGTTGTTGTGAGTGTGTTGTTGTTGTGTCTCGTTGTTGTGAGTGTGTCGTTGTTGTGAGTCGTTATTGTGTGTCGTTGTTGTGTGTTGTTGTTGTGTGTCGTTGTTGTGAGTTGTTGTGTGTCGTTGTTGTGTGTCGTTGCTGTGTGTCGTTGTTGTGAGTGTGTTGTTGTTGTGTGTCGTTGTTGTGTGTCATTGTTGTTGTTGTGTGTCGTTGTTGTGAGTGTGTTGTTGTTGTGAGTTGTTGTTGTGTGTCGTTGTTGTGTGTTGTTGTGTGTCGTTGCTGTGAGTTGTTGTTGTGTCGTAGTTGTGTGTCGTTGTTGTGTTGTTGTTGTTGTGTCGTTGGTGTGAGTGTGTCGTTGTTGTGAGTTGTTGTTGTGTGTCGTTGTTGTGAGTGTGTTGTTGTTGTGTCTCGTTGTTGTGAGTGTGTCGTTGTTGTGAGTCGTTATTGTGTGTCGTTGTTGTGTGTTGTTGTTGTGTGTCGTTGTTGTGAGTTGTTGTGTGTCGTTGTTGTGTGTCGTTGCTGTGTGTCGTTGTTGTGAGTGTGTTATTGTTGTGTGTCGTTGTTGTGTGTCATTGTTGTTGTTGTGTGTCGTTGTTGTGAGTGTGTTGTTGTTGTGAGTTGTTGTTGTTGTGTGTCGTTGTTGTGTGTTGTTGTTGTGTGTCGTTGTTGTGAGTTGTTGTGTCGTTGCTGTGTGTCGTTGTTGTGTTGTTGTTGTGTGTCGTTGTTGTGAGTGTGTTGTTGTTGTTGTGAGTGTGTTGTTGTTGTTGTGAGTGTGTTGTTGTTGTGTGTTGTTGTTGTGTGTCGTTGTTGTTGTCGTTGTTGTTGTGTGTCGTTGTTGTTGTGAATGTGTTGTTGTTGTGTGTCGTCGTCGTGCGCGTGTCACAGCCGCGGTACAGCGTCCGCTTCGAGCAGATCTACCTCTCCAAGCCCACGCACTGGGAACGCGACGGGGCCCCCGCCCCCATGATGCCCAACGAGGCGAGACTCCGCAACCTCACGTAAGCGCAACAATAACAACACGAACAAAAGTAACAACAATGACGACAATACTAATAATCACTAGGATGGTGGTTTGTTATTGAATGAGCAGATTGTTTGGTGATGCTGCCGCTGCTGATGCGTTGGCAGTGATGCACAAACATGCACGATTAACACAAATCAACTCGACATACCCATCAATAACTCCGTGTGTGGCCTGAAAAATATATGACAGATGACGTTTCGGGCTCTTCATAGGATATGGAGGGAAACGTCGCCTATTATACATTTTATTCGTGTAATTTCGCCTATTCTATGCTTTGAAGGTCACACGGCGTGATTATTGGGGGACGAGTTGAGTTGACCATTGACGGAGCTGCCCTGCTTTACACCGGGGCATCCCACGGCTCTTTAGACGCACCAAGCGACTTGAGTCGGATCTCAAATGCACGTATTTGGAAGGGCACCCCCAATGGCAGCTGTCCCTGTGTTGCATATGATGAGTCAGTACCTGGCCAGCGAGCGGGCTTCAGGCTGCTAGCAGGGGGGGCGATGACTGCTGCGATGTGAAATCCCTCTTGAATATTTTTTTTGCGGTGTAATTTTTCTATTTGGAAGAAATGTGGAGGCTGACGTCCGCACACAGTGGGCGACTCGTGTCGAATCATGTCAGCAGAGGTTTTTAACACCCGCTGTGAAGCAGCCGGCGTGCAGTATTGCTATGGGTCATGCTCACCGCAGGAATAACCAGGGCGGCTTGCCGTGTTGGAACCGCGAACCTCTGCCACAATCATCAAATATGCTACTGATTGGTCGTGTCACCGCCAATTCGTCTACAACAGGGGTTATAATATCTTATACAACATGTCTTGCAACAGTCTCGAAATTATTCAGGAATGTAACCCGCCGGACTAATCGGAGGTACAGAAGAATTTTTACTTTTGGGTTTGTAATTTGTGTTCATTAAGATGCCTTATCTGCTCCTGGTAAGGCTCCAATTTAAATAACGCTTAAAACATTAAAATAAATCACATTGCTCCTTCCAAAGTAGAAGGCCTTGAAAAAAAATGTGTACAGCGTATGTAAACCAGCTCAAGCCTCCCATAAATCACGTGACCTGTGTGGCCGCTCCTCCTCAGTGCAGCAGCAGCATCGAGACCCTGATGCAGCCTCTCCTGACCCTGTGCTCCCGATTCTCCGTTCCTTTTCCACTGTTTTCCTTTCAATCCCCATTCCTTCTCTTTTCTCTCTCTTCCATTTGCTTTCTCTATTTCCACGCATTGAATCCTTGACTCCCCTTCCAATGAGGACTACAAAGTTGCTGGTTACTCCATCGAATCTCGGTGACTCTGGAAATGGTTAAATAAAGGGTGTGCATCTCGATGGTCTTACCCCTGATCAATAAAGCACAAGCAATACAACATCAACACGAGCCTTAGTTTTTTAAATAAATGGCATCATGAATAACAAATCTCAGCAGAGGGCTTACCCAAGGATCAATAAAGCACATCCCAAAAGTCCGACGATACGAAATGCCACATCGACATCGATTGGTGCCCTGAAATAAACCAGCGAAGCATGGATGCCGCCCGTTGTGGATATTGTTCATATTGTATTAATTGTTAAAACAATGTTTGCTGGCTGGCTGGCGCATCCCACAGGGTTGAGCCGGTTCGTACGCCGCGCTGCCGTCACGACTCCCCACCCACAATCCACCTGGGCCGTGATGCGCTATCATACTGTCAAACCATATTTGAAATGAAGTTTTGCTCACTGGCTGCCAGGATGGAGGGCAGGACGGACGGTCACCATCAAGGGACGCCCCGTGCTGCTACTTTTGTGCGAAAACCAAGAATTTCCAACACCGTCGTTTGCCTCCGAATCACGACCCGTGCCGCCGTCCCCCGTGCCCCCCCCCACCCCCTGCAGGTACTCGGCCCCGCTCTACGTGGACATCACCAAGAGCGTAACGACCGCTGGCGGCGGCGAGGAGCAGCAGCAGCAGCGCTTGCAGACGCACGAGAAGACCTTCATCGGCAAGATCCCCATCATGCTGCGCTCCACCTACTGCCTGCTCAGCGGCCTCACCGACCGCGACCTCTGCGAGCTCAACGAGTGCCCCCTGGACCCCGGCGGTTACTTCGTCATCAACGGCTCCGAGAAGGTGCAGCGCCAACAGCGCCAGCAGCACCGGCGGCTGGGCGGTGGGGTCCGCCCGGGAGTAACCCCGGAGCGGCGTGAAGCGGTGGAGGCGAGGGTTTGGGTGGATCGCCGGGCGGGACGTAGCGAGACAAGTCGCCCGTTCCCCCACTGCTAAACCAAAGACAGTGAACCCCGTGTAGCCATTTAAGGACCAGGCTACAGTCTACATTATAGACTGCAAGTACACTCACCCAGCTTAATAATCATTGCTACAGTACTACATTGTAGACTGCCAGTCCACTCACCAAACTTAATAACCAGGCTACATATTCTTGGTTATTTCGGTAAAGTCACGTAAAAGGGAAATAATACAATTATAAAAACAAAACAATAAAATTCTCACGACGTTTCGATTGCAGCACAAGCAATCATCATCAGGTGTGATAATTGCTTGTGTTTTATTTTTATTATTTTATTATTTCCCTTCTACGTGACTTTACCGAAAGAACCAAGAATATGAATCCCTGCAGTCACGAAAGTTTTAAATCGAAACCAGGCTACAGTCTACTTTATAGACTGCCAGTACACTCACTCCGATTAAGAACCAGGCTACAGTCCACATTAGTGTTTTTTTGTTGTTTATTATTTTTATTTTAGAATTTTTATTCACTTTATTATTCATTATTATTTTTTTTCTTCTATCTACGTGACTTTACCGAAAGAACCAAAGAATATGAATACGTTTACAGACTGTTGGGGAAAGTGCTGTTAGCGAGCACCTAGTGTAGTCGGCACGGCGAGCCAGGAGGTGAGTTGCCAGCCCCATGTCCGGCCGCCTTTGTTTCCCCAGTGCTGATGTTTACCCACTGCACTAGTACTCACTGCAGGCCAAGTCGACCTAGGGCAGGCCCAAAACTGGTTCAAATATGTGTTGGCCACTGTTAATGGTCGTGAGCGAGAATCGTCGCGTTCGTAGCGCGGTGCGATAACCGCTTACAACTACCGCTCACCCTACGCTGCCAAACATCTACACACACACAGATGTACTGACGTGTGTGTACATCAGGGTTTCCCAAACTCCAGGCCTCGCGACCCACCACCACAACATCTTTCCGCTTTTATCAATTTATTCCCGAATTCAAATACAAACTCGTTCCACGCTGCACGCGCCTGATTATTGTTAAACACGTCGCATGTGACGTGCAAAGCAAATGAACGATGTTTGCATGAATATAGCCGATTAAAATTCAGATTCATACCTCTGTTTGCGTGTATGTGCACGCGTTCCGTGTGTGTGTGCACGTATTTCATGTGTTTGTGTGTGCACTTGTTCCATGTGTGCGCGCACGTGTCCCGTGTGTATCTACACACGTGTCCCGTGTGTACCTACACACGTGTCCCGTGTGTATCTACACACGTGTCCCGTGTGTACCTACACACGTGTACCGTGTGTATCTACACACGTGTCCCGTGTGTACCTACACACGTGTACCGTGTGTATCTACACACGTGTCCCGTGTGTACCTACACACGTTCCATGCGCTTCACGCACCTGGCCTGGCACAGGCGTCATGATGACCTCACACTGCCACTTAGTGGCGAATGGCGGATATTGGTGTCGGAGTTTGGGGCACCCTGGTGCAGACGTTCCGGCGGTCGCTCTGCGCTCACGCTACAGGCGCATTGGGCCCGTCCGGGTCAGGCGCCAACTTAATTTTATTTCTTCTATTTTTGCTCGCAGGTGCTCATTGCCCAGGAGAAGATGGCCACCAACTCCGTGTACGTGTTCGCCAAGAAGGAGTCGCGCTTTGCCTTCTCAGCCGAGTGCCGCTCCTGCCTGGAGAACTCGTCGCGGCCGGTCAGCACGATATGGGTCAGCATGCTGGCCCGCGGCGGACAGGTGCGCAACAATTGGGAGGAAGCACGCGCGCAGCCCAACGTTCGCACAACGTTGGCTTAACGTTGGGGCAACAGTTCGCTCGGTGTTGGGGTAACGTTGGGACAACAGGTTCCACGTTTACTCGGTGGGCACCACCATCACCCTCCCCCTGCCTGTGCCACACAATCCTAGTTAACGTGCAATAAATTGGACCAACGTAAGGCCAACGTCGACCGAACGTTGGCCCAACTGTCCCATGTTTACTAGGTGGACCCCCCCGCCACCCCGACGCGACGTGCGGTTTAGCACCAAACACGACGACACGTCGACAGCAGTGCTCAGGAGTGCGACTGTTGTTGCTCTTTTGATGGAAACTTGCATTGCGTTCCAACTTTCCCCATTATGGGGGAGCTCTGCCCGGAATTCCCACGCGCGACGGGATGGTGGGGGAGTGGGGGGGTTCCTCGTAGTACCGGAGAACGCACGGGACGCACGGGGGGGGGGGGGGGGTGACGTGTGGTGCCGCTGTCGTGACGCGGAGGTGTGTGGACGCACGCAGGGCGTGCGGAAAAGCACCATCGGCCAGCGCATTGTCGGCACGCTGCCCTACATCCGCCAAGAGGTGCCCATCATGGTGGTGTTCAGGGGCCTGGGTTTCGTGTCCGACCGCGACATCCTCGAGCACATCATCTACGACTTTGACGACCCCGAGATGATGGAGATGGTGAGCGACCCGTGCAGTGGGTGCAAATGAAACCGTTGTGCCCGTGGCACCGCGCCACCAGTTGGGCGATAGGGCAGCAGACGGGGGGCAGTAAGAGGAGTTGTTAGAGGGAAGGGACGCAGGGACGAAAGTCCACGAGAGCAGCCGTTCCCAACCTGTGGTCCACGGATCCCTGGTGTTACACGAGGCTACATCCTCACCAAGGAAATGCACAATTTCAAATAACTATTAGAAGCATCCGATGGTCCGCGAAATGTTTGGACGCTGAAAAGCGGTCCGCACACTCGAACACGTTGGGAACCGCTGCCCTACAGCAGTGGTTCTCCACCTGTGGTACGCGGACCCCTGGGGGTACGTGACAATGTCCGAAGGGGTACGTTAGGTGATTTATAAATGTGTGAAATTATATCGTACATGAGAGTCAGTGAATAGTCATGTATGAAGCTGCCAAATTAATATAGCGACGGTACATTTTTTATCCATATGGTAACCTAGAAACGGCATAAAAGACCTTTCTAAAACTCATTGATCTTAAATAAAGCGGTTTCCAAGAGTAACCAGCGAGCACAAACAAATTACATCATGCTTGGAGTTACGAGCTAGTTAGGATACCTCACAAAATGGACATTTGGTTAAAATATTGATGTTCATTATTCATATTCTGGAGATGGTGAGCGGCCCGTGCATTATTCATAAAAAAAAATCATCAGAACCATGTTGGGTCAGGCAAGAGGGTACTCGGTTGAAACTAAATTCAACAAGGGAGCTACAGTAGGCAAACAAGATTGAGAACCGCTGCCCTAGACCAACATAGAGGAGGGCACAGCTCAAAATGAGCAGCAGGAGGAGAAGGAGAGGAGTTCCAGGCAGGAAGAGGAGGAGTGGGGGGTGAAGGAATGACTGGACTAAGACGTCGGGGATGAGAGGGTGGTGATGATAAGAGGGGAGGGGAAAGAGCGAACAGAAGTGAACTGCGTGAAGGGGGAGCAGCGTCTGTTTTCACAGGAAGAAAGGAATTTCTGCAGTCCTCTATATATTAAGATGTTTTCAGCCAATTAATGAGCTGTTTATACACGTGGGAGAAAACTGGAGCGATCTTGACTCAAAGCTTTCGTTACTTCAGGAATTCATATTCTTTGGGTCTTTTGGTAAAGTCACATAGATAGGTTCAAAGAAAATAACAAAAAACTACGACGTTTGGATCTGCAACACAAGCGGTCGTCATCAGGAAAAAGGGGTGAGCTTTTAAAGGCAAACTGTTTATAAAGGTTTGAAATGGGCGTAGCCCAAATGTCAGCAGCCAATGATAATGTGAGTGGTGAGCAGCGACCGCGACGGTGGTGGGTTTTCCACCAATCAAAGGGCTGCCAGGTAAAAATGTGCATGTGTTTGCTCATGATTTGGAAATCTTTTGCTATGTATGTAAAAGTGATGGTTTTGATTGGGTCCCAACGGTTGGGGTGATAGCGTTACGTATTGTGTAGTCAGAATATCCATTCATCTTGAGAGCTTGGTGTACGTGTTCCAGTTCACTGCCTCGGTGATGATGGTCGGAAATACATCGAGCTCTATGGTGTAGAGTTTTGACGAGGGAATTCTTCTAAAAAGATCCCACCATCACCTTGCCAAACATAGCAGGGGTCACCAACATTTTTTCCAAAAATCATGAGTAAACAGAAGATCCAGGTTCGATTTAACACAGTACATAAAATTCGTGATCTGATCCCATCTGTGAAAGTTGTGATCCCTGACATGCAATACCCCAGCGTCTACAAACTAAGCTGTGTCTGCAGCAGTCGTTAAATTGTGGAAACTAAGCAACGTGTCTCGGACCGTGTTCGTGAACATAAGGCAGATCTGAAACACGGTAGGACCAATACCTCAGCCGTGGCTGATCGCTGCTCTGTGATCTTCCATTAACATGCTATTCTCTGACATTAACACAGCTACCTCAGTGCGCTCGCCGTGGAGGCCGCTCAACGATTTTACATTAATATGCTAATTTTTACCTGCCAGCCCTTTGATTGGTGGAAAACCCACCACCGTCGCGGTCGCTGCTCACCTCTTGCATTAACATTGGCTGCTGACATTTGGGCTACGCCCATTTCAAACCTTTATAAACATTTTGCCTTTAGAGGTTAACCCCCTTTTCCTGATGATGACCGCTTATGTTGCGATCGAAACGTCGTAGTTTTTTGTTATTTTCTTTTAACCTATCTGCGTGACTTTACCGAAAGACCCAAAGAATATAAAAACTGGAGCACCCAAAGTATACCTGAGTGTGGGAGGAGGGGAAGCAACACTTTATCCCCATACCGAAGGGACAGACGAGATGTAAGTGCTGGAACGGGAGCCTTTCCTCATCTCATCAGGGGGTTTCTCTCGCACGAGACCTTGGGGTCTCCGAGTCTGCAAAGCTTGTCTTAAACCTTACCATCACACTTCCGTTCACTCAGCTCGCAGCTAATTCAACTAAAGGCTATCAGTGTTGATTTTACTACTCCATCATTTATTAGCATTTAGCCAATGAGAGGCACTTTGTCAATATAATTATTGTTGTTATTGTTGTTGATTGTCGTCGCAATCGCCGCCTCCGATTATACCCACCCCCCTCCTGCCCCTTGCTTCTCGCAAAAGCTGAAGCCCTCCTTGGACGAGGCGTTCGTGATCCAGGAACAGAGCGTGGCACTCAACTTCATCGGCTCCCGCGGGGCCAAGCCAGGTGTCACCAAGGAGAAGCGCATCAAGTACGCACGCGACATCCTGCAGAAAGAGATGCTGCCCCATGTGGGCGTCAGCGACTTCTGCGAGACCAAGAAGGCGTACTTCCTCGGGTCAGCTACTCTTGTTATCATTATAATAAAAGTGATGTCAACTTGTATGCTGCCACCGCCACCAGACAGACCCCGTATTATCGCGCTATCGGAGAGGGAGGATGACTCAGAGGCGCGAGAAGGAGCCACAATCGGTTCAATCCTCTGGTAGATCACGTGATTTCCGTGTGGTCACCCCGACTCCTTCCCTCCCGTCTCACCGCCACAGCCCCCTATGAGAACAGACGCTCCTCCTCTGTGCAGCTCACTTCTGCTCGCTCCTTCCTTCTCCCTCCCTCCCTCCCTCCCTCCCTCCCTCCCTCCCTCCCTCCCTCCCTCCCTCCCTCCCTCCCTCCCTCCCTCCCTCCCTCCCTCCCTCCCTCCCTCCCTCCCTCCCTCCCTCCCTCCCTCCCTCCCCTCCCCTCTCATCCCCAACATCTTAGCTCAGTAATTTGCTCTCCCCCCCCTCCTCCCCTTCGTGGCCAGCACATCTTCCTTCTTCCTGCTACTCATCTTGAGCCATATCATCCTCTTTGTCCATCTTGGAGACCTCTGTCCCGGCATCGCTTCCCTCTCCCACTCATCTTGCCCCCCGGTCTGGTGCCGTATTGCACAACTGGCTCGACTTCCAGTTGTGGGGTGCCATGTGTGAGCTGTTTTACAGTAAGCATAATTTTTTTGACAGAGCACCCTGTACGTCGCGGTAAGAAACTTACATTGCATCTCATCTCGACATATTTTTAAGGGGGACACTCCCAGTGGCTCAGCACATGGCATGCAAAGTGGGCTTTCGTCTCCCAGGAGGGGGCGATGTTGTTGTTGGTTTTCCCAGTTAAGTCACTTGTGAGAAATTTTTCAGATAGGAGTCATTTTCCATAAGACGGTTTTTTTTTGTTGGGTTAGATCGTGGAAATGTATAAATGTGTCGTTAAAACCCGCCACCACCCGACACAGCCAACTAGTAAGGTTTGTCACGTAAACAGAACGTGCCAATTGGTCACTAGTACAGCACACCGGTGTGCTGGAGAGCCAAGCCACAACATTTACAATCTGAGTACGACGTTTGGCCAGTAATTACAACTAGCTTCATCAGGCGACAGCCAGATCAAATCTTGGTACCACCCAGTGGCAGCCATCCCTGTGTGACCGCTCTTGTTACTCGGTCTGCACTCCGTGTGTCCGTGTGCGTGTGTAGTAGTTACATGTGGGGAGTGGTGGTGTTGTGGTTAGCGCGCCGTGCTACAAACCCAGCGAGTCGAGTTCAAGTCTCGTTCATGACCAATAACAGTGGCGAGTATCTGAGCCGGTCCTAGGATTCCTCTACTGGACAGCTGTGAAAAAGAGCTTTATAGCTCATCGGATTCCCCCAGTTTAAATAAATATTCTGATTCTGATCTGATTATGATTCTGAGGTCGACTCAGACTTAAATGAGCACCCAGTGCAGTGTGCATAAAACACCGGCACTGGGGAGACCCAGTCGGCCTGGGCGCGGTGTTAACCACCCACCCAATCGTGTGCCGTGCCGGCCTTTTGCAAGGTGCTACTCGCCGATAGCACCTGCCCCGACGGTCTGTTGAAGGCTATACGTGGGGAAGGGCACCTTTGTCTTTGCCTCCGTGCAGGTACATGGTGCACCGCCTGCTTCTCGCGGCGTTGGGCCGGCGGGAACTGGACGACCGCGATCACTACGGCAACAAGCGGCTTGACCTGGCGGGGCCGCTGCTCGCGTTCCTCTTCCTCGGGTAGGGCGGCGCAATGTTTACAAGAGACTCTGACCGGAGATCGACGACTCCATCTACGAACCCCATATCGTCGCGCAGCGTTTGTGCTGCGTGTGTATGTGTGTGCGTGCGTGCGTGCTTGTTATGTACGTATGCATGTTGAACTTCTTTTGCACCGTACATTGTCGAGCGTGCTAATCGGAGGTGCTGGGGGAGCGGTAGTGCAGCGGTTTTGCACGACAGGAGTTTGATTCCCGCTCACCGCCAACAACGGTGATGATTATCTGAAGCAGTCCTGGGTCTCCCCTAGATCGACTCGGCCTAAAATGAGTTCCTGGTGCAGTGGGCGTGGTGCTGGCCACCCACCAACAAGCCTTCATAAGTGCTCGGGATCAGCACGTGCCCCAACAGTCTGTTAAGGCTATACGGGGGATCTCTTTGTATTTGTGCGCACTTTAGGCTGTTTAAAACTCTGGGGAAAGAGGTCCGAATATATGCTCAGAAGTTTATCGATCGAGGCAAGGATTTCAACCTAGAACTTGCCATCAAGACTCGGATCATCACGGACGGACTCAAGTACTCGCTGGCGACCGGAAACTGGGGAGACCAGAAGAAGGCTCACCAGGCTCGTGCGGGCGTCTCCCAGGTGCCGGCATTGCCAAATTGAGCCGCAAAAACCTTCCACCACTTAACTATCTCACTATTTTTTTCTTTACCAGATAATGCACACTTTACTTTTCAAAGGCGACCTGGCTATCAAAATGAGAGCTCAACAAAGTGTCTTATGCAGGCGTTCATCGCAGCCGAATACTCTAAATGCATGTTGATTCTAAGTGTGGAGGGAAAAACTGGAGGACCCAGAGAAAAATCCACGCGACCACGGGGAGAACATGCAGACTCCAAATATACACCAGATGTGAGGGTTGGGATCGAACCCACGACCTCCTGCAAAGCAGGCGAGGTCATTAACATCTCGCCACCGTGGCACCTACTTTTTCCCACTGGCAAAACCAAACCGCGCTGGGGCCGCGCGAGCCAACCATGCCGCGGCTCACGTTGTTTTTCGAACTTCAAAAGGAGCCGAGCCGTTCCATTGACGTTGCACAACAAGTTGAGAGGAGCACGTAAGCGGCGCGGCGACGCTTCGTCCTCACGTCGTGCCGACTCACGTCACACACACGCACGTGATCACAGCGTCATTATAACCCAGCCCCCCCTGGCCTTGCTTGGCCCCGGGCCGGCGTATCGGAGTTTTGATTTTCCGGCTCGGCATGGCAGCAGACGGTGGAAAAGCCACACGTACCATGACAGTGCTACTCCAGTGCGAGTGTGGTGAAGGAGGCACCCCAGGCCCGGTTCGGACACCGCTCGCCACCGATGTTAGCCGTGGCCGCAATGTTGAACTCGGGCCTCTGGCTTCGTAGAGCAGTGATGCGCCACCGCTATCGACTTAAACACACAAATCAAACGGCGATTGCCATTCACGACTGGAATAATGAAGTCCTCAGTTTTTAACGTGCCCGCGGTGCGTCCGGTGTCGGTTGACCAGGTGCTCAACCGGCTCACGTACGCCTCCACGCTGTCTCACCTGCGGCGCCTAAACTCGCCGTGCGACCGCGGCAGCAAGCTGGCCAAACCGCGGCAGCTCCACAACACCCTGTGGGGGATGATTTGTCCTGCCGAGACTCCTGAGGTTCGTGTGCCTGCATGCACCTGCGTGTATCCACACGTGTGTGTGTGTGTGTCTTAGTCAAACCATGGCACCGAGGTCTGTCCCGTGATCTCCTACCAGCGAGCCTTCGACACGTCACGTAACCTCAAAGTACACATAGCCTGGCACGCGCGCCGTGGTGACATCACCGCAAGTTAGCGGCGAATGACGGCTGTTGTTGTTGTGGGGAGTGGTAGTGTAGTGGTTAGTGCGCTGCGCTATGACCTCGACAACCCCAGTTTGATTCCCGCTTACGGCCACCAACACCAGTGACGATTACGTGAAACAGTCCTCGGCCTTCCCTAGGTCGACTCAGCCTAAAAGAACAGGAGAGTGAGAGACACGTGGTGCATATGCCATTCATCTCAGTGAACTCATAGCACCTGGGTCACCTTTGTCAAGATCGTCTTCTGTGGAGGAGACTCGTGAAGGACGCTACTGGTCAGTTGGAGGCAGTCGCTCTCCAGCAGAAACGGAGTACGGAGGAGCAATGCTCACAACAACGATCGGAGTGCCGGGCGGCTAAAACGTAGAGAGGTGGCCCAGGGGGAGCACAGGTGGTGCATCTGCCAGTCATCCCAGTCAGCCAACCCATGGCACCTGCTGGGTCTGTTCCGTGACCTACCAGCAGCGAGCCTTCGACACCTCCACGTTATGACCTAAAAGTGCACCTAGTCTGGTACAAGCACTGCGGGGACACCGCCACCACTTAGTGGCGAATGGCAGTATATGCGCTCTCTGGTCTGACACTGGTGAGACAAGGCCATACAGAAGGCTCTCTCTGGTGGTAGGTCAGTTTCAAAGACAATGCAATATATTATAATCACAGCATGTTGGTGTGCATGTTTTGCCACAAGAACGTGTAGTTAATGCAGACTCGATTCCTTACAATAGGTCTCTATTTAGGGTTTGGACACCTGTTTTATCGCCAGAAAGGGTAAAGCCTATTATCCTAATATATAAACACCCAGGTCTGTGATTCTGTCATTCTGTGACTAACGCGGCAGGGATTGGTTGAAGTGCGTCACGTTACCCGGACCAAGCAGCCAACCAACGCTTGGCGGGGCTATAGAGGGGGCGGGTGAAAGTCCGCATCGAACCAAACCCCCAACAAGGCCATCTACTTAACGACGAGAGGAAATTCACCACGAAATGTCGTCTTCTATTAAGTATTCCAGATGTAAAATGATATGAGCTTCTAATGAAGAAATACAATTATTTAATTAAAAACAATACAATTCAAAATATGTTTCATTTTAACACTTCAAAACGGAGCATCGGGTGCTTGCGTGAATGTGTCGTTCGTGTGCACTTTTTTCCGTGACATTCCTGGCCGAAGGCCGTAAATGGTTGTGAGGAACAACCCCTAGTTGTTTTAATAACAGTCACTGTTGGGGTGGAGAGGAGCCCAGCCAGCCAGGAAACTGGAGGCGTAGATCATTTTTAACCGTGCAGTTTGTACGTATTTATGTAAAAACTATTTTGCACCGTACGTAACCAAAACGTGCTAATTGTTATGTTTAGTTGTCCTTCCCCCGTACCTCCGATTAGCACGGTTGGCTACGTACGGTGCTAAAACAGTTCAATGTCCTTGCATAGTAGTTTGGTGGTTATGACGAAGAAGTGGTCGTGTGGGGTTGTGTGTGGTGCGCGCAGGGCCATGCCGTGGGTCTCGTGAAGAACCTGGCCCTCATGGCCTACATCTCGGTGGGCTCCCAGCCCTCCCCCATCCTCGAGTTCCTGGAGGAGTGGAGCATGGAGAACCTCGAGGAGATCTCCCCGTCGGCCATCGCAGAGTGAGTCGTGCGTACCCCCCCCCCGCCAGCTCCCCCAGCTCCCCATCACGGTTGCTCAGCAGCAGGCCCCAAAGGCCCACAATGACAAGTGGCCAGCAAGAGACAGCACTCTTAAAGTGATGGCGAGGGTGCGAAAGACTGGGCCAGAGCATGGTCTTTTGGTTCTCTGTGCATCTGTTTACCTATCTGGATGTGTGCAACTCTATGTGTTTGTGTCTCCGTCTTGCTGTTTGTGTGTCTGCCTATGTACACTATACGTGTGTGTATGTATGTGTCTTTGTCTACCTGTATATATTTGCGTCTTTCTGTGTCTGTGTGTCTGCATATTTACACTATATGTGTGCGTCTGTGCCTGACTCTGTGTTTTTGTGGGGAGCAGTAGTGTAGCGGTTAGTGCGCGAGTTCGATTCCTGCTCAAGACCGCCAATATCAGTGTCGATTATCTGAACCGACCCTGGGCCTCCCCAAGGTTGACTCAGCCTCAAATGAGTGAAAACGTCAGCAATGGGGAGACGAAGGCGGCCGGGCGTGGTGCTGGCCACCCACCCCCTTGAGCTATCGCGTGTCGTGCCGGCCTTCATAGGTGCTCGCTAACAACACTTGTCCGACCAGTCTGTGAAGGCTACACGGGGGATCTTTGTCTCTTTGTGTGCCTGTCTGGTAGCACGCAACACCACCTATTGTGGATTGAGTGAACGTCCAAAACATGTAACGGTACTCTACGTGTTTTGAGGCGTGTAAATATGTCTCGCATTCACGATGCCGATTGCATTCATTGATCGTGCGGTGAAATATGGACGTGCAATTTGACATTGCGATTGCAGTGCAACCAAGATCTTTGTAAACGGATGCTGGGTCGGAATACACAAGGACCCCGAGCAGCTCATGACAACGCTGAGAAAGCTACGCCGCCAAATGGACATCATCGTGTCGGAGGTGAGACACGTAGATCGCTCGGTACGGGTGCGTGCCGAGCACGGGGTAGTGAACATGTATGGGCACGTGTGTTGTACATATATATCTATGGTACCTTTTTTTCCAGGATCAAATATTATGAAAAATCAGAATAGGTTTTACCCTTTCTGGCAATGAAACAGGTGTTCATATGTTCAAAAACTAAATGGATACCTTTCACAAGGCATAAAGTCTGCATTAGCCACACATACTTGTGAAAAACTACGCAAACAAACATGCTCTGATAATATATGCATTGATGTATGGATACGCATGTAAGTTGAACTTCTTTCGCACTGTACGTAGCCAACCGTGCTCATCGGAGGTGCGGGGGAAGGACAATAAACTAAACACAAAAAGCAGTTCTAAAGAAATTAGTTTCCAATCTAGATGATTTAAAAGTGCATAGCTCCAGTGGCTTCCTAATATTGGAAGGAAAAAGCGTTCCAGACGGCTGCAGAAGCGCATCTGAAAGCGCGCGATGCAGTGACCGTTTTTGTTCGATGGCCAGCCAAAATCCGCTGCCGCAAGGATGAGTTCGCGTGATGGTTTACGCTCCTTGACGAGATCGGCAAGGTATTGTGGTTCATATGCACTCGATTGTTAAACGTGGTGTGGATCGCTCTCCAACAACAACATCGCTGCCGCTGGTACTGCTGCAGCAGTGATGAGTGGGCGCGTTTGTTCATCACGTGACAACTTCGGGTGGAGGAGGGCGCACGACACCCATTGCCATTTTACCCACGAGCCTACGTGTTAAAACAGAAATGAAGAGGAGGAGGTTGTGATGGGTGGGCTGCGTGCGCAGGGTGGACGAGGAGGGGGATAGGGTGAGCAACTTTGAGGTTGGGAATAGAGGAGGAGGAGGTTGCGATGGGTGGGCAGCATGCGGAGGCTGGTGGAGGGCAGGTGACCCAAGGCTGGCATTGGAGTGGCAATGAGAGATCAGCGACCAAGGGGAAGACCTCGAACCGGTGGTGTTGGTGGTGGTCGTGGTAGTGTAGCAGTTAGCGCGTTGCGAGTTCGATAACCGCTCATGGCCAACACCAGTGCCTATTATCTGAACTGATCGTGGGCTTCTCCTCGGTCGACTTAGCCTAAAATGAGTACCTGGTGCGATGTGTAAAATACTTTGCCACTAGGGAGACAAAGGCGGCCGTGCGTGGTAATGGCCACCCACCCCCTCATGTCAGTCCTCATAGGTGCTCGCTAACAGCACTTGCCAAACAGTCTGTTAAGACTATGGGGAGGGATCTTTGTCTTTGATGTAATCGTTAATCATGGAGATTGCCGATTTTGTCACACCTACATAAAATATGAATGCCAATTATTTACTCATGAAAGCCTCATCGAGTCTTAAGACTGTATTTTCCATTACCAATAATATAACTTAACATTTGTCCCGATGCTCAGCCTCTGTCTATGGTGCCATCCGTGTTTATTGGGGATACTTTTCTTATTTTCTCCTTAAAGATTGAGTGGGGGAAAGCTAAGTTAGGGTTGGACGGGCAAATACTTGACAACCCGACTCATATCAAGTGGTTTTCACATAATTCACTGTTTTTGGTCACACAAAGAAGTTGTAACCGCAATGGTTACGGCACCCTGGGTGGTCCCAAGAATTGAGATGAACTATCTACTATTTTCTATTTGGCCAGTTAAGGCCCACTGAGCGAGATAGGTCTTTTTCAGGAGGGAACTGGCCACAAATGATAGCTCAACGAGTGGCTTATCATCATGTGGACATTTAAAGCAGTAGCCAAATACTCTAAATGGGTGTTGATTCCAAATGTGAAGGGAAAAATCAGAGGAATTAGAGAAAAATCCACACGCCCACGGGGAGAACATGCGAAATCCAAATATACAGGTGTCAGGGTCGGGATCGAACCCACAACCTTCTGTATACCAGGCGAGGGAGTTAACATCTCGTCACCAGGCTCGTTAACTATTGGTTCTGGTGGAGTTGAGATATCTTCTGAGAAGCTTTTAAGAGATCACGGTGGCTGTTACCCGACCGTCTGGAATATGTACCAAGTACACATTAATACCATCTCCGAGACGACTTACTCTCGTGGGAAGAGTAGGCCAAATCCCCTTTCAGTCGGAGGCCTTTCGGCAGGCAGTGGCCACGAGCAAATGATCGTGTGGGCTGCCCTCTTCAAAAAACACATTGATCGATCTCCACACCAGGTGTCCATGGTGCGTGACATCCGGGAGCGGGAGATCCGCATCCACACGGACGCCGGCCGCATCTGCCGCCCGCTGCTCATTGTGGAGAAGCAGCGGCTGCTTCTCAAGCGCAGGCACATCGAGCAGCTCAAGGAGCGCGAGTACAACGGATACAGGTGCCTGTCTCTCACCATGCCCACCTCTCACAGACGGATGCACGCGCCCGCACACGCGCCCACAGTGTCGTAACGGCGGGGTTGGGGTGGAGCTGGGTGGGGCATGGTGGGGTGGGCTGGGCCCAATATTGGACCATTTTTATTTAGTTTAACCCGGTGAGATGTTAACTACTTCGCCTGGTATACAGGAAGTTGTGGGTTCGATCCAAACCGTGACGCCTGTATATTTGGAGTTAGCGTGTTCTCCACGTGGTCACGTAAATTTTTCTCCGGGTCCTCCGGTTTTTGCCTGCACATTTAAAATCAAGATGTTTTTAGAGTATTTTCTATAAATTTCCACGTGATAAGCCATTTCGTTGAGCTATCATTTGTGGCCAGGTCGCTTCTGAAAAAGATCTATATAGCTCGGTGGGCCTTATCTATTAAAATAAAAATTGATTAGTTTAGCTTTGAAGAACTCAAGGGACCAAGAGTGATTTGGGGCATTCGTCTGCCAGCAGGGGCTGATGATTGATATTTGTGTCATGCCTAATTGAGGAATTTGCTGGGTTGATTGACTCTACTCTTGTAGCCGTGGTGATTACCAAGTAAAAATGTCAACGTTGGGCCAATGTTGACACGTGCTTTGAAACCATTGGACCAATGTTGACGGGATGGATTCTGGCTCCTGGTGAATTGGCGTAGAGTGCGGGCACGTGTGGTCTCAGCTGGCAGGAGCTGGTGGCGAGCGGCGTGGTGGAGTACATCGACACACTGGAGGAGGAGAGCGCCATGATCGCCATGAGCCCCGACGACCTGCAGGAGCGTGGCGTGGCCTACTGCTGCACCTACACGCACTGCGAGGTGCACCCGGCCATGATCCTGGGCGTGTGCGCCTCCATCATCCCCTTTCCCGACCACAACCAGGTACTCAGCCACAACCACACATCACCACTCAGCCACAACCACAACCAGGAACCCAGCCACAACCACACATCACCACTCAGCCACAACCACACATCACCACCAGCCACAACCACACATCACCACACAGCCACAACCACAACCAGGAACCCAGCCACAACCACACATCACCACACAGCCACAACCACAACCAGGAACCCAGCCACAACCACACATCACCACACAGCCACAACCACAACCAGGAACCCGGCCACAACCACACATCACCACTCAGCCACAACCAGAACCATTAACCCAGCCACAGCCACACATCACCACACAACCACAACCAGGAACCCCGGCCACAACCACACATCACCCAGACACAACCACACATCACCACACAACCACAACCAGGTACTCAGCCACAACCACAACCAGGAACTCGGCCACAACCACACATCACCACTCAGCCACAACCAGGAACCCGGCCACAACCACACATCACCACCCAGCCACAACCACAACCAGGAACCCAGCCACAACCACACATCTGGCTGTTAACCCAGATATGAAGCCAGGATCTCAGCCCCCTGACCACTGAGCCAGCTGCCAACGCTTAAAGGAGGCAGCGTTACACTGCACGCCCCTCCGGCAACGCTTTCTCTGTGTCACAACACAGAATTCCAGCGTAAGCCTTTCAAGCGGTGCCCTCATCGCATGGTCTGCCGACGGTGGCTTCTTCTGTGTGTAATGTATGTTGAACTTCTTTCACACCGTACGGAGCCAACCGTGCTAATCGGAGGTGCGGCAGATGGACAACAACTAAACACAAACAATTAGCACGGTTGGCTACGTACGGTACAAATTAAGCTAAAACAACAGTACGTAGTAGCTTGGTGGTTATGACCAGTGACGGACTGGGACTAAAAATCGGCCCAGGCATTTGTAAAGACACCGGCCCAAATTCTGACATTCACCGCTTCAGTTCCTCCCCGTTTCCTCCTTGACTGCCCCTCTGCTCCGCCGTGCAGTCCCCCAGGAACACGTACCAGTCAGCCATGGGCAAGCAGGCGATGGGCGTGTACATCACCAACTACCACGTGCGCATGGACACGCTGGCGCACGTGCTCTACTACCCGCAGAAGCCGCTCGTCACCACGCGCTCCATGGAGTACCTGAGGTTCCGAGAGCTGCCCGCGGGTACGGCCGCGACGTACGACCACCGCGGGCCACAGGTGGCCTGTCAGTGCGGCTCCTGGCGTGCGGCCGTCCCGATAATCCACGAATGTGAAGACAACCCCATGACCGTGCCTGTCGAACCCAACTGTTTCAAATGTGTGGCGGCCCTCCTCGCTGATGTTTTATCGGTGAAAGCGCCCCCCCCCCCCAAAAAAAAAATGAGTGATAGACACTGTCCTAGTGCCTCTCCGTGTCAGTGGCATGTGTGGTGCCTCCGTGCTGGGGATCGGGGACAGAGGAGGAGAGAGGGGGGGAGAGTGGGAGAGGAAGATTTGTCGCGGAATTTCCAATTGGTACCGGAAAAAGAATTCCGTAAATTGAGAGTAGCATGGCTTCGTTTTGGAATGATCCAAAAATAAAACCGTGGACACACGGGAAGTGATGTCACTATCGCGATGCCACGTCCAGTGCTATTCCCCCACCAGAAGTGCCGTCGCAGTAGCGTCATCGGACGCCGCCACTATTGTTGGTACAAACGCGTTTTCTTTAAAAAGCGTGAGAGGCAAATGATGAGAAAACCCTAAAACTGTCGTTAACGGCACGCGTCTGGACACGACGCATCGTCTTCGTGATTCGCTACATTTGTCAGCGATGGGAGAAATCCTCGCGCATTTCCACCAAAAAAATCAGACATTCGCCAACAAACACATAAATCGCAGGCCCTTAAACTCCACCACGTCACGGAACGGCTCGCACCCGTCAAATCTTTACTCATCACCGATGTGAGCCGTAGCGGAGAATCGGCCGGGTTCACCGGGCTACCAGGTTAACCGGGTCGCCGGGTTCACCGCGCAACGTGCACCTCTCCACCCCCAGGGCCAATAAAATGTCTCACCGCTCACGTTGATCCCATGCTGCCGCTATCACTGCTGCTGCTTTCGCTACTGTCGCTGCTGCTGCACCCTCCCCCCCCAGGCATCAACTCCATCGTGGCGATCGCCTCTTACACGGGCTACAACCAGGAAGACTCCATCATCATGAACCGCTCAGCCGTGGAAAGGGGATACTTCCGGTAAGAACAGCAGCAGCAGCTGTATCTTTTTTTTATATAATTGGCAAGATGAGGAGGCACAGGAACCTCCGCCACGATTGCTATGAATGCTGTAACCGATTTCCGTTATGCGTGAGGCTGTGCACACGGTTTTGGCTACGTGCATCTAGACCCTGATGCAGCCTTTTCCTCCTTTCGATCCTCATCTCTCCTGACCCTGTGCCCCCGTTTCTCCATTCCTTTCCCACCCTTTCACTCTAATTTGTCATTCTTTCTCTTTTCTAATCCATTACATCATGGACTCTGCTTCCCGCGGTGTGTAGCCGTGGATGACAAATTGCGAGTACCGAAAAAACATTTCTGCACAATACCGGATGTCGATACAAATCAATTTCTGCCACCTGGATACAGGTGGCAAGGCCCAGACTGCCCGGGTTGAACCCGGACACGTGGCAATCCTAGTGAGTCACCAGGTTTGTATAACTTTATGCACACCAGCGTGTCGCTTTGACTCAACGAGCAAAACTTTCTCTTCTGGTCTGACGTCGCAGCTCTGTGTTTTATCGCTCGTACACGGACCAGGAGTCGAAGAGGAGCTACGACCAGGAGGAGGTGTTTGAGAAGCCCACGAGGGAGACCTGCCAAGGTCAGTACAAACCATGCACTCCGTGTGCTCCATGTGCACTTGTCACGTAAGGTTGGGGCTACCTCATGGACCAGCGTGGCCGGGACAGTCCCGGTTTCAGAATGACTGTTCTGCTATCCTCAAGTTTTTTTTTTTAATTCAAAATGTTCTGGTCTCTTGCTCGGCTACCCTGGACACCTTCCCCAATGAGTTGTTGCATCTGAAGAGATGTTCCAGGTGATATATTGGGAAACGTAAAAAAGTAAGAATGCATTATGAGACAAGGAAGGGCCAGTGGAATAGACGCAGCCCATGGGCCAACGTCAGAAAGATCCAGGTGCCGGTCCACTCACTGTGTGGCCGGGGCTAGTGGCTGAGTGGGCGTGGCTATACAAGAGTGGGTAGGGCTACCAAAGTGGTGGGTGGGGCCACCTGAGTTGTGAGGGGCTGACCGAGGGAGGGGGTGCCAGCTGGCACACCGTGCGGGTCCCCCCGGTTACCTTGGCGAGCATTAACGCGGCGAGTGTTGACGTGGCGAGTGTTGACGTGTCGAGTGTTGACGTGTGGGTGTGACGGGCGCGGGGCGCAAGGGATGCGCCACGCGATCTACGACAAGCTGGATGACGATGGGCTCGTCTCGCCGGGCGTGCGCGTCTCTGGCGACGACGTCATCATTGGCAAGACGGCGTCGCTGCCGGTCACGGACGATGAACTGGACTCGGTGGCGACGCGCTTCGTGAAGCGCGACACCAGCACCTTCCTGCGCAGCAGCGAGACCGGCATCGTGGACCAGGTCATGGTGACCCTCAACCAGGATGGGTACAAGTTCACCAAGATTCGGGTGAGGGTGTGGCATGCGCGCGCCCCGAAGCCTCGAGGCACGCGCTTTTGTTTTCCGGTATTTGAACAGAAAAGTTGGCGGTGCGTATTCCGGAAGACGTGTTTTAGAATTTTAGACATTCTAAGAATCATGTTCTGGAAGACGGCTCTGCGTAGCGGCACTGTATTTTCCCGATTATAAAGCAACCCTGTATTTCAAAATAACCCCAAAGTCTTGCGTGCCCCTTACTTTCTGGAGAATCTTATAATCCAGAGAATGTGGTAGATTACAGCTTGCATGCACACGCCAAGCCGCACTCATTACACACAAAGGGCTTGACACAAATGAACCACAATACCTTTGCCTGATCTCGTCAAGGAGCGTAAACCATCACTCGAACTCATCCTTGCAGCAGCGGCTTTTGGCTGGCCATCGAACAAAGAAGGTCACTGCATCGCGTACTTTCAGATGCGCTTCTGCAGCCGTCTGGAACGCTTTTCCTTCCAATATTAGGAAGGCACTAGAGCTATGCACTTTTAAATCATATAGATTGAAAATTTATTTCTTTAGAACTGCTTTTTGTGTTTAGTTTGTTGTCCTTCTCCTGCACCTCCGATTAGCACGGTTGGCTATGTACGGTGCAAAATAAGTTCAACATATATACATGTACATGCATGTTTACTCAGTGCCCCGCATGCACCTATACCGAGCGTTCTACGTGTCTCTCAAGTTCAACATACATACAAGCCCGACAGTCACAGGAAGCGTGCAAGTAAATGTGGAACGTTGGCCCAACGTTGACGTGTTTACTGAGCTGTTACATCCCTCTTAAATACCTTCCTAGTGAAGCACATGATCACATATGATGTGTGATCATGTTTTTTTTTTTACCAGGTGAGAACTCAATAAGAGACGAGGATGAGTCTCATTTGTAAGAGTGAATTGGGGCTTGAGGCTGCCAGTAGGGGATGTTTATTGCGGCTGTGTGTGTGATTTCAATTGAGTAATCTGCGGTGTAATTTTCGAGTTTTGCAAATGTGGACCCTGACACCGGCACACAATGGCCTACTCTTGCGAATTACGTCAGAGGATCTTTAACGTCCACTGTGAAGATGGTGCAGAGTATAATCTGCGTAAATAAACCAGCTCAAGCCTCCTCTCGTAAACCACGTGACTTCCGTGTGGTCACCCCAATCTGAATCCCTCCCCTGTCCCTGCGACCACCCCCTGTGAGAAAAGACGCCACTCCTCTTCTGTGCAGCTCACTTCTGCTCGCTTTTTCTCTATTCTCGCTCTCTTTCCTTCCTTCTCATCGTCATCACCACCCTCTCAGCCCCGACACCTCGGCACTGTCATTCCTTCCCCTCCTCTTCCCTTTCCTGTTGCTCATCTTGAGCCGTGGCCTCCTCTTCGACCGTCTTGGGGACCTCCCTCCCGACATCGGTTCCCTTCCCTTTCTCTCTATCTTTGCTTTACTAAACGAAACTATTAAACATTTTTTTGGCTGTTTTACCAGGTAAGGCCCACTGAGCTATGTAGCTCTTTTTCAGAAGCGACCTGGCCACAAATGATAGCTTATCGAAATTGCTTATAATGTGAAAATACATACTCTAAAAGCATGTTTCTAAATGTGGAGAGAAAAACCGGAAGACCCGGAGAAAAATCCACGCAACCACGGGGAGAACATGCAAACTCCACATATACAGGCGTCAGTGTCGGGATCGAACCCATGACCTCCTGTGTACCAGGTGAGGTAATTAACATCTCGCCACTAGACTTTACCCCCCTTCCTGTGGTGGTGCCGCAGGCACAAAGTATAATTACGGTAATTACACGACCGCAGTAATAACCAGCGCGGCCGATGGATTCGAATCCGCAAACCTCTGCGATGAGTGGCAAAGGAGCCGCCTCCGGGCCCTGTCACCACCCGATCGACGCGAGGGTTCAAGTTGTGGCAACTCTGTCACCCCCGCTGACCCCCCCACCGCCCCCTCCCCTTCACACGTTCCCGCAGGTTCGTTCGGTGCGCATCCCTCAGATCGGAGACAAGTTTGCGAGTCGGCACGGGCAGAAGGGAACCTGCGGCATCCAATATCGTCAGGAGGTGTGTGGGGGGGGGGGCCCTCTTCTCTGCTATACAAGACATCCCCTCCCCCTCCCCTCCCCGCCTACACCTCCCTTGTGTTTCATAGAAAAAGTTGAGGGGTTCGTCTTATAATCCGGTAGGTGTACATGTGCATGTGACCAGATTTGTGGGGAGTGGAAGTATAGCGGTTAGCATGCCGCGCTACGAATCTGGTGTGCCGAGTTTGATTCCCGCTCATGGCCAACATCAGTGACGATTATCTGAACCGGTCTTGGGCCTTCCCTAGGTCGACTCGGCCTTAAACAAGTACCCTGTGCGATGTGTAAACATCACCACTAGGAATCCAAAGGCGACCCGGCATGGTGTTGGCCACCCACCCCCTCGTGTACCGTGCCAGTCTTCATAGGTGCTCGCTAACAGCACTTGCCCCAACAGTGTTACAGTTTAAACGGGGGATATTTGTCCAACTTTATTCTTCACCGGGCACCGGGGTACGTGTGGAAGCGGCCTTGTAACTCGTCCCCCTCTCCGATCTCGCGTTCTCTGATTGAGGCCTTTGTCTGCAGCCACCTGGTCCCTAGACTGGGACCCTGCTGGGGCCAGGGGAGGGTTCGGCTCAGGGAGAGAGTGAGTGGCTGGCTGGATGGATGGCTAGTTGGTCAGGGATAGCAGCTGCCGGATGGCTGGATGGTTAGGGCTAGTGCTAGTGGTTGGCTGGCTGGCTAGTTGATTAAGAGTAGGGCTAGTGGCTGGCTGGTCGGTCAGGGGTAGTCTCCCCCAGTCATAAGTCGCTTGCCCCTCCCCTCATCGTTGCATTGCGTCGCCCCTCCTAAGCGTTGTGGCCGTGTTCCTTTGGCCGCTGCCCACTGTGCAGGCCATCACCGCTTGGGGTCCTGGTGCTGAGCATTTTAGAGTTCGCGGAGCAGAGATCGTCCTCAGTTGCTGGTGCCGTCACAATTCCTGTGAACGGCGGTCGAAATATCGGCGATGGAGCCCACGATGTTTCGTCGCGCGGCAGCCCACGAGGGCTTGTGTCGTTTGCCCTCCGCAGGAAGCTTAGTGGAACAGGAACGGGAACCGTTGTGAGGAGTACCGCTATTCCCGCGTGGTGGTCTAGGAAGTGCCGGTTTGGTGTACCGGCGTATCCCGGCACTGCCTGTAAGCGATGTCCTCTCCGAATGAGCGGCTGTGGTGACGGCTGAAGCCGCTGCGTGTTGTTGTTGTCAATGCTGTTCTCGTCGTTGTTGCTGTCGTTGTTGTTGATGTCGTCGTTATTGTTGTCGTCGAGACAGTAGGAGCAGTGACCTCTATTACAGAGTGAATGCCGTGATCGCGCCGGGCGGGTTCTGCTGGCCGTGTGCGTGTGCAGGACATGCCCTTCACCTGTGAAGGACTATCTCCGGACATCATCATTAATCCCCACGCCATCCCTTCCAGAATGACCATCGGGCACATGATCGAGTGCATCCAGGGGAAGGTGGGCAACGAAGCATGCACACCAAGCCTGGCTCTGTGATCCGCTTGCTGTTGTTAACCCTTTCCTGTTCCGATGACGTACGTGTACATCATCGGTTTTGAATCCGTTTCGATGACGTACGTCATGAAAACGAAACCAGAAGAAAAACTCAACAAAAATAAATGTATCGGTACCGAAGCTCCCACAAGGTCATGCGGGAGGGGCGTATTGCACAGTTTGTGCGCCAGCTATCGTAGAGTGCGGTCGTGTCACTTCAGTTATCTGCGGCGAGTACAACGTCTTTAAAAACAACGGCACGACACCTCTCTAAATAAAATTAATACTTAGCCATTTGCGCGTTCCGAGACTGAGCAGGGAACGGGACACCACTCGCCCTGCAACTTGCAGACGTCTCAGAACGGGTTACGTTTATGCTGCTCGGGCTTTGCTTTATAAAAGTCTCACCACTGACCAATTAAATATTGAGATGTGAAGCAACGTTTAAAGACAGGTCTGTTAATCGTGGCAGTAGACGTCCAGTTTAGTGGAATGCCTGAGTGGAGCACTTTTTCTAACATCACTCACATTATGCAAATTATCTGAAAGTCCAAAAAAAAAGATCCGAATATATAAATATTAAAAGCCCACGTTTCAGATGTTTAATCGCAAGCTCATCCCACGTAGATGTAGGTCCATGAAGATTAGGAGAATGTTCTTTTCCACGACAGATGAAACCTAGACATATCGCTCAGCATTTGGTCAACCAATCAGAGCTGTGCACCATCCTGCCGTCAAGAGACTGGTACCAAGATCTCGATACTAATCACTTCCTGCCACCCGCACACAGATGCCAAATCTGGAAAGGTGGCAACCCTAATGGGTGGTTGAGTGGGTTGCTGAGTAATGAAGAAAATTAACGAGCGAGTGTAGGGTCCATAATCCCTGATTCTTTCGGTAAAGTCACGTAGATAGACAACAACATTTCGGTCACAACACACACAAAACGTCCTGTTTTCTTTTATTATTTTTTCTACGGGATTTTACTGAAATAACCACAGAGTATGGATTCCTGCAGTCACGAAAGCTTAAAATCAAGACTGAGTGTAGGGTCGTCACCTTTTCCACAAACCAAACCCTAGGTCTCCCAGATCTGTTCTGTACAGTGTAATACGGTTCAGTACAGTGCCAGCTGCCTATTCCTGGACAGGTGGTAATGCATGTGAGTGAGTGGGTGAATGAATGAGTTACTGAGTGACTTGCAAAATGAATGGGTGAATGAATGAGTGAGTTGGTGAGTGGGAGACTGAGTGACTGAGTGGGTGAGAGAGAGGTAGGATCACCACTATTTACACTGGAGACCAAACCCAAACAAATGGCTCAATCAGCATAGGTTCATTATCAACACTGTGCAGTTTACTACAATACAGTTCAACACAGCAATACGGGTACCAAGTCTCGGTACAGGTATCCCTCGATTACGAAAGGGATGCGTTCTTTAAAAAAACACGTAGAAAACTACATTTCGCAAATCGGAACGATTTACCCTACTAACCGAAAATATTTTCATCTATATCACTTTTCACAACCCAAAAATCATAACATAAATATTTAAATGATTGAAAAATAATTAATTTAAAGCAAAAAATTCCCTTTTCTGGGAGCTCGCCAAAAGATCTGCTGCATACTCTTTGTTTTTTTTTTCGGTAAAGTCACGTAGGTAAAATAAAATAAATTAAATCACGACGTTTCGGAGGCAACACAAGCTTCCGTCTTCAGGTGGAACAGTCACAGCAAAATAGCTGCATCAAGTGAAGAGCTCTGAGACACACGAGATTATATACAGGTTGGGGGGGGGGAGCCAGGAAGGGACATGGGTGGGGGGGAGGGCTAAGTTAAGCCGCCTTTTGTTATGCTGCAGGGGGTTCAGGGGAAGCGATGGTGCGCTGCACGAAAACCCACTTGACTAAATGGAAATGGCTGTACAATTATAAGGCAGCTAAAGGATCTGCTGCATGTTGGAATGCCTGGCAAGGCGATGTGGAGTCGGTTCCTGTGGCACCGCAGGGACACCATGACGCTGTCGTGAATGGATGGCGACGGAGCCATCCCGGGTGCTGCTTGTCGTTTGATGATCTCGTGGCGGGTGGTCTGTGAAATTTCGTTCACGTGGAAATTCAATTACATTTATCGAAAACTGTCCATAATTTGTCAATTGCGTGAACGTGAAATCCCATAAACGGAACGTTCGTAAATCGACGGATGCCATCGTAAACGATTCCTGGACGCCAGGTGGCAACCCTACACCAGCAGTTCTAAACCTTGTTTGGCTACTGAATTTAAGTTTCAACCGAGTACCCGCTTGCCTGACCCAACATTGTTCTGAGAAATAAATGTATGAATAATGAATATCAATATTTTAACCAATTGCCCATTTTGTGTGGTATACTAATGTCTTGGTCTCGCGGTGCGCTGCGTTGCACCACTATCCGAGTAGTTAACCTCACATTCAATAAACCTTCAGTCAGGGTGAACATCCAACTCCAACGTATTTAAAGAATGAAACGAGGTAAAACCGATGGAAAAACACAGCACAAAATACAGCATCTGTTAATACTTGCAATATCAATACAATGAATGAACACTGCAGTATCATAACATTGTCTTAGATAATGAATCTCAACAATAGGTCCTGGATGGACCAGGCATCTACATTAGCTATACAACAGGAGAATAAGCTACTGTGTTAAATAAGGTCACTTTTGTGTAATCACCATACTGCAGCCTGAATGTAGAGTGCTGCATATAACACTGAACTGTGGATGAGATACTTTGAAGTTACGTGGGGACAAGTCTGGCTCAACTTATCCAACTACAAATAACATTCACAATAATGCAAGTGGCAGGCTTCGTTGTTAACTAGGCCCCATATTCATCATAACAATTTAACAGCATTATAAAGGCATTTACAGCATTATAACGGCAGTCCTAATATAATAGCATTCCCAGTATTATAAGAACATAAACGAACTTACAGACAATGCTTCTTAAACTCCCACAATGAACAGATGCACCCGTCTTCACTGAGACGCTAATTGTGCCTCTATTTTGTACTCTGTGTAATGGCTGACACCCCTGCCTAGCCTCGTGACTTAGAGACCCTTAACTCGTAACTTCCTGGTCACGTGGCCAAACTCAACACCATCATATCAGGAAGTTCCTGTGTAAACACACCCTCATATCTGCCGTGGGGCAGAACACCTAACTAGCTAGGCACTGCGAAAAACTAAAAATCTTCTTGGTTCTTTCGGTAAAGTCACGTATTTTATTGTTTTATTTTATTATTTCCCTTCTACGTTACTTTACCGAAAGGACCAAGAAGATGAATCCCTGCAGTCACGAAAGCTTTAAATCGAAAAATAAAAACAAAATCAACAGAGGCCCTGCATGCGTGACGTTATTTGTTCACGCTCGCTGGTTACTCTTGGAAACCACATTTACGATGAGTGAGTTTAGAACGGTCTTTTATATCGTTCTAGTTTACCATTTGGATTTAAATTATATCGTAGTTTTTTTATATTAGCAAATTCACACATGATTATTTACCAATGACTCTCACGTATGATGTCACACATTTATAAATCACCTCACATACCCCCGGTTGAGAACCCCTGCCCTCGACGGCGGCACGGTCCCTGAACTGGCGGCGTGTCCTTCCCCGCTGCCGTTGGGCTGTGGGCGTGAGCGTCGCCCCTGACGCCCGTCTTTGGCCGCGTGCCGCGGGGGTTTGCGACCGTCCCATCCAGGTGTCGGCGAACAAGGGCGAGATCGGGGATGCGACGCCCTTCAATGACACGGTGAACGTGCAGAAGGTATCCAACCTCCTGCAGGAGTACGGCTACCACCTCCGCGGCAACGAGGTAGGCCGCGGTGCGCTCGCACGCGCCGCACGGGGCCCCCGTGTCAACGTAGGGTGGCTATATGTTAACTACCTCGCCTGGTATTCAGGAAGTCGTGGGTTCGATCCTGACCTTGACGCCTGCTGTTTATTAGGAGTTTGCATGTTCTCCTCGTGGTCACGTGGATTTTCTCCGGGTCTTCCGGTTTTTCCCTCCACATTTAGAAACATGCGTTTAGAATATTTGGCTGCTATAAATTTCCATATTCTTTGGGTCTTTTGGTAAAGTCGTGATCGTTATCCTGATGACGATTGCTTGTGTTGTGATCGAAACGTCGTAGTTTAATTTTTTTTATCTTCTTTGAACCTATCTACGTTACTTTACTGAAAGACCCAAAGAATATTACTTCCTGCAGTCACGAAAGCTTTAAGTCAAGATAGAAATTTCCAATTGATGGGCCACTTCGTTGAGCTATCATTTGTGGCCAGCTGTTGCAGACGATTTGGGGTCGGTATCATTTAGGAAAGTATTGAATCGGTGCACCGTGGGGGAGTGAAACATTTCTGCGGGTGTCCAGGAGTTTATGGGTCCAGAAGGCAGTTTGGAGGCGCAGCTTTAAGTGAGCACACGGAAACGTCTCGGGGTTAGCGTCAGCATGGCATCCAGGAAAACACGGCGACTCGAATTTGATTCCCGCTCATGGTCAACATCGGTGACAATTATCTGAACCGGTCATGGGCCTCTTGATTCGGCCTCAAATGAGTACCTGATGCGGTGTGTAAACCTCAGCACTAGGGAGATAAAGGCAGTCGGGCTACCCACCCCCTAGTATGCCGTGTCAGCCTTCACAGCAGCTCGGTAACAGCACTTGCCCCATAAGTGTGTTAAGGCTATACAGGGAATCTTTGTTGTGTTGGTGTTCAGGTTTAGTACCATGACCTTGTTGTTTGTGCCGTTGTGCAGGTCTTGTACAATGGCTTCACGGGCCGTAAGATCACCTCTCAGATCTTCATCGGCCCCACCTACTACCAGCGCCTCAAGCACATGGTGGACGATAAGATCCACTCACGCGCCCGGGGCCCCGTGCAGATCCTCGTGCGACAGCCCATGGAGGGGAGGTCTCGGTGCGTACATGCAAACTGTCTACCCGCCCGCCCGTTTGTCCGTCAGTTCGTTTGTCCGTCCGTCAGTTCGTCTGTCCGTCAGTCCGTCTGTCCGTCCGTCAATCCATCAGTCCATCCGTCAGTTCATTTGTTCGTCCAGCACTAGGCGCCACAAGCATTGAGTTGGCCCCAGTCCCGACCGCTGGCCCCTCTACCCTCCGAAGGGACATTGCCCAAAACGTTATCCCGTCAAACGTGTCTGTTACAAGGCAGTGTTAACCATCGTCACTATCTGCTTCAAAAATCATCACGCACACTCCGGTCATCCTCGCAGCAGCGGCTTTTGGCTAACCATCAAACAAAGACGGTCATCGCATCACACACTTTCGGATGCGCTTGTGCGGCCGTCTGGAATGCTCTTCCAATATTAGGAAGCCACTAAAGCTATGTACTTTACATCTATATTGAAGACCCATTTCTTTAAAACTTTTGTGTTTAGTTTGTTGTCCTTCCCCCGCACCTCCGATTATATATCTCGATTGGCTACGTACGGTGCGAAAGAAGTTCAACGTACACACACATACGAACCATATGCAGCCAACCGTGCCAATCGGAGGCCTCGCGTTTCACCTCGCGCAGGGACGGAGGCCTGAGGTTCGGCGAGATGGAGCGCGACTGCCAGATCGCGCACGGCGCCGCCCAGTTCCTGCAGGAGCGGCTGTTCGAGGTCTCTGACCCCTACCAGGTGCACGTGTGCAACCTGTGTGGCCTCATGGCCATCGCCAACACGCGCACGCACACCTACGAGTGCCGCGCCTGCCGCAACAAGACCCAGGTGAGCGCCGCCACCGGCTACTCGTGTCGCCATCCTGGCTCCCAAATCAATCCCTCACTCCCAACTCATTCCGGCATATCCCCTTTTCAAATCCCTCACTCCCAACTCAATCGCATTAACTATGAGCATGCACACGTCTGTTACCGCAACAGCTGTCCATCGGATTCCACCTACACTTCCCTTTGACGAATGTGTTTGAGTTTTGTTGTTTTTTTTTACACCACAATCGAGTCCACGTGCACGTGCACGGCGTGTCTCCCCTCTCATCCCGCTGCCTCCTCGGGGCTCCCCCCCATGTGCAGATGTCGCTGGTGCGCCTGCCCTACGCCTGCAAGCTGCTCTTCCAGGAGCTCCTGTCCATGAGCATTGCGCCACGGATGATGGTCACATGACTTCGCTCACTCGCTCAACAAACACCACACGCGTACAACCACCCCGCGGCGCTGGGCGTAAGAGAACGTCTAAATAGCAAAGTTGGCTACGTACGTTGCGAACGAAGTCCAACATACCTACAGACGTACACACATATGAAGCAAAAGACGAGCGGCCCAAGTAGCTCAAGGGGCATCCTGGGATTCACTAAAACATTAAATAGGGGTGCATAACATACCGGTTCAAATTCAAATCCTAATAAACATGAGCCAAGTAATGTAAAACAATTAAGTCGTAACATTTCTTGATTATTGAAGGGTTTGTCTGTCACTGTGTAGCTACTACTAGTGTAACTATTCAAATACCAATTTAAAATAATTCTCACCAGGCCCCCACGGCGTAAACACGTGCCATCTCCAACTCGCATCGTCCACTCTGCCTCTCTACATGCCTCTCTGTGTATGTGCCATTAAGGATTATTGCCCAAGATGTTACCTATTATATAAATGCGTCTTCTTTCAAGGCCACACTGAGTCGTTATTGACGAGCGTGTCGACTTGTCTTGTTATTTGTGCTTGTGCACCACTGCCAACGCAGCAGCATCACTAAATAAAATGTTTTATCTTTCAACCAGAGAGGGTTGCTTACACGTCTGCGTGTGTGTGTTGGGAGAGGTACTATAGTGGTTAGCACGCTGCACTACGAACCCGGTGAGCCGAGTTCAATTCCCGCTCACGGAGAGACTCACCACTGTAGAAATATGGAATTTCCACCTACTGGCTCAGCAGGGCTGTAAATAGGAATGGGCATCAATGCCTCGATGCTTATGAGAGCCCATAAATCACTCTGGGAGCATTGATCTTAAAAGAGAACCCACTGTTACAATTTCAGTCACACAATACTTTTTTATTGGCTGCAAATGTGTCCCGATTTGTCACCTGGAAGACGATTAAACTCTCCGGTGTGTGCGTGCGCGTGCGTTCAAACTCACGCTGCATTCTCAACGGTGCGTACGCAACGCACGCCTTTGAGGCAGGCTGGGAGAAGGGACGTACGTGCGTGCGTGCGATGGGGCCACGTGATCTGTTACATTGGGGAAGGAGCCGCGAACATCGATGCGACGGGAGCTGATAAAATAAGAGAGCGAAGCTGGCACCACTATATAAGCATATTGGCACAAGAGGAAAGTGGAAACAAATGAGGAAATGTGCAGTGGACACCTACGGGGCATCTGCCCGTGGATGGTGACGATGGTGATGATGAAGCTTGTGCGCGTGCCCTCAAGGGAAGGGGTCGCTCGGGGTGATGTTGTAGCTGGCGTTGAAGAAGATCCCAAAGGTTCCCAGGGACGTGATCAGGAAGAAGGTGATGAAGAAGATACGATCCACGACCATCGCCACATACTGCCAGTCTTCCTTCAGCTGAAAAAAGACAAAAACACCCCCCCCCCGTATAGCTTTAACAGACCGTTGAGGCAAGTGCTGTTTGCGAGTAGCAGCTATGAAGGCCGGCATGGCACAAGGGGTGGTGGGTGGCCAGCACCAAGCCCGGCTGCCTTTGTCTCCCTCGTGGCCATGTTTACACATCGCACGAGGTACTCAAGTAAGGCTGAGTTGACCTAGAGGAGTCCCAAGTCCAGTTCAGATATTCGTCACCGACGTTGGCCGGGAGCGGCCATTCAACTCGGGTCCCCAGGTTCCTAGCGCAGCGCGCTTACCGCTACACCACCGCTCCCCACGCTAACCGCATGCACACGAGAGAGCGATCGCCATCTCTCAAGGCCAGCTGCCAGATCTCTTCGCTTTCCCCTGAACCTCCGACCGACGGAGAAGCGCCGTGATCTACACAGCGCGTCCCCAGAATCGTTCGGTGAGTTTTGTGTCAATAAGGCCGGCGTGTCACGTATCAATCTATTTTGTCGCCACGACGGGCCTATTAAAAATTTCTCCTGCACGGTAGCCATGCCGCAGCCTGCACCCCCCACCCCCACCCAGTACCTCTGGGAGAGGGTGGTGCGTTGCGGTGTCAGGGCCGCGCTGGTGACACGGGGGCGCCATGGTGGCTAGGAGATGTTAACTACCTTGCTTGGTATACAGGAGGGCGTGGGTTCGATCCCGACCCTGACGCCTGCTGTATATTTGGAGTTCGCGTCTCTCTCCCCGTGGTCGCGTGGATTCTTCTATGATGTCTGCCTCCACATTTAGAATCCGTGTGCGTTTAGAGTACTTGCCTGCTATAAATGTCCACTTCGTGTCGATAAGCGCACGTGGTTGAGCTATCATTTGCGTTAGCCAGGTTTCTCCTGAAGAAAAGAGCTATATAACTCAGTGGGCCTTACCTGGTATGATACACAAAAACATAGTCGATAGTTTAATTTTCACCTCGTCGAACTCCTTCTGGCTGAGCATGTGCTCCGAGATGTAGTGCACGGCGTCCACCGCCGACTGCAGCTCCGGGGGCAGCACCACGTGGAGCTTGTCGGGCCCGGCAAGCTCCGAGGAGAACGGCGTCATTCCGAACCTGCGGCGGGGCACCAACACTGTCGTTCTTACGGGCGGGAGGATCATCGCTGCAGTCGTTTCACGGCAGGTTAGGGGGCGATGTTGCCTCGCGCGTGTGTGTGAGCAGCAACATTGGACCACCCACCCCGGACGTTGGCACGTGATGGCCTACCCATATCATTTGACGTCACGGGGATCTTTAACATCAGCTGTGATGGCGCAAAGTTATTTTCATTATTCTTCTCACCACGGTTGAAACACTCCACCACCGCAGTAAGGGGCCGTCCATAAATGACGTCACGCGATTTTGTGAGATTTTTGACCCCCCCACCTCGCCTCGTCACACGGCATCACAAAAAGTAAGACCCCCCCCCTCAAAAACGACGTTACAAAGCTCTGCCCCCCCCCCCAAAATAAAATAAGCTTCAAATCGCTTTAAACTACTGTCATTGTAGTGCGTATTTAATGTGGTGCTGCACTCTGATGTTGTAGGAGAAAACGTATTAAAAAAAGTCTATTTAATTAAGTAGAACGTGTTGTCTATATTTATTTAAAGTTGCGCACTTTGATGTGACGTCACATTTCTCAACCCCCACCCACCCTCGTCACACATCGTCACAAATGTCTGACCGCCCCTGCCCCCACCCCCCCCCCCCCAGGTGCGTGACGTCACTTATGTACGGCCCCTAATAACCGGGGTGGCCTGCCAGATTCAAACCACGAACCTCCCCTTGCTCCGTGCCGCCGTCCTACTCACGAGGGCGAGGTGGGCAGCAGCAGCAGCGCCTGGCTGGGCGGCGTGCGGATGAAGTACTCGTCGTGGCAGTGCTGCTGGTGCTGCGTGAGCACGGGGAGCTTCGGGGCGAGCTCCTCCTTCTTGGGCCGTTCGATCCACAGGTACTTGGGCAGCGCGTGGATGAAAATCTGCAATGCCGCGACGGCAAAGGCGGCCACGGACACCACACGCACACAAGCACGTGGTTACGTGGCGAAGTGGGGGGGGGGGGGGGGGCGCCATGGTGGCTAGATGTTAACTCCCTCAGCTGGTGTGCAGGAGGTCGTGGGTACGATACCAACCCTGACGCCTGCTGCTGTATATTTGGAGTTTGCGTGTCTCTCTCTCCTCGTGGTCACGTGGATTTTTCTCTGGGTCCCAGGTTTTCCCCTCCACATTTAGAAACGTGCGTTTAGAGTATTTGGCTGCTATAAATTTCCACACGACAAGCCACTTCACTGAGCTATCATTTATGGCCAGGTCGCTTTTGAAAAAGAGCTACATAGCTCAGTGGGCCTTTCCTGGTAAAATTTAAAAAATGTTTAATAGTTTAAGTTGGCCAAGATTCGCAACGGCCAATCAAAATCCCCCATTGGAGCCGGGCAGTGGCAGCAGTGGTGGGTCTACGTTGCTGCACATGACTTGCCTGTAATCCTCCAGCACTGAGAAGGCAGAAGCGGGGGTTGGTGGATCATCTTACAAATGTTGTGAAACTCCATACTACCCGTGGGCATCGAGGAGGTGCCGTGCCCTGGCTTTGCCAGGTGAAGATGGCACAACAAAGTGTGGATTCCACCTGTTCTGTTAGGGTGGGAAAGTATTTCCCTCTCACACGTGTGGATTTTCTCTGGGTGCTCTGGTTTCCTCCCATAAGTACGTAAACATTCATTAATTGATCAATAGAGAAATACAGAGCTTGTGTAATTTTTGGTAGCACCGGCTCTCCGCGTGGCTGCTGCCTTCCCGCTCGTCTTTGGCTCCTCCTCGAGCGTCTGAGTCATCCTCTCTCTCTCTCTCTGAAAGCGAGCGACTACTTGACATCTGTGCCGATGACTCTGGTGGTGGTAGCATGTTGTGGTAGTGGTGGCAGTTTTGGTGGTGCTGGTGGTGGTAGCATGTTGTGGTAGTGGAAGTTGCGGTGGTGGCGGTTGTGGTGACATTGGTAGGCTCTCACCCGGCGGACCCAGTAGGGCATGATGTGCGTGGCCGGCGAGCGGAAGTGCAGGTTGAGCACGATGACGGTGAGGATGACGCAGGCCGTGACGATCACCATGGTGAACATGAGGTAGTTGACGATCACGGGGACCCCGAGGGACGTCTCTGGAACCTTGTCGGCCAGCAGCAGCAGAAACACGGTGAGGGCCAGCAGCACGGAGATGCACAACCCCATCTTCTCACCTGCAGGACATAAACAGGTGACGTTTCATGTGAAGGGTTGATGGGCTGCCTGCGAGTCAACATTGCAAACAGGACTTGAACTCGCAACTTTCCGACTGCGAGCCGTTCTGCCGCTGAGCCACGTGGCCAGTCAAAGCCAACTTTTGGTGCCACGGTGGGTAGGAGATGTTAACTACCTCGCCTGGCATACAGGATAGAGGTTTTTTGGGTTAGATCGCGTAAATATATAAATGTGTCGTTAAAACCCGCCACCACCCGACACAGCCAACTAGTAAGGGTTGCCACGTAAACAGAACGTGGCCAATTCGTCACTAGTACAGCACACCGATGTGTTGGAGCCACAACATTTACAAACTGAGTACGACGTTTCGCCAGTAATTACAACTAGCTTCATCAGGCGACAGCCAGATTACTGTCGAAACGACGTACTCAGATTGTAAATGTTGTGGCTTGGCTCTCCAACACACCGGTTAGTGCTGTACTAGTGACGAATTGGCCACGTTCTGTTTACGTGACAACCCTTACTAGTTGGCTGTGTTGGGTGGTGGCGGGTTTTCATGACACAATTATATATTTATGCAATCTAACCAAAACAAACTCCATTATGGATGATGCTGGTCGCGAAAGCCTACGTGTTAAACTGGTATACAGGAGTTTGTGGGTTCGATCCCGACCCTGACGCCTGCTGTGTATTTGGAATGTGCGTGTCTCTCTCCCCGTGGTTGCGTGGATTTTTCTCCGGGTCCTCCGGTTCTTCCCTCCACATTTAGAATGAACATTACGTATTTAATGTATTTGGATGATATAAATTTCCACGAGATAAGCCACTTCGTTGAGCTATCAATTGTGGCCAAGTCCCTTCTGAAAAATAAGTTAATAGCTCGGTGGGATTGACCTGGTTCGATAAAAATGTGTTTAGTTTTATTTGTATTTTTGTTAAAGTAATTTGTTTAAC